GAGTTATCTGTCGGATCACCTCAATCAATTCAGTGTCTAGTTAATCATTTTCATTTCTGTAACCCAATCGACATAGTTTATCATAATGTTTCGTAACAAGCAGGTTTTGGGTCACTGAAATCTATGCCATATGGTAGCAAAATGGTATACTTTTTCCTTATTCAAGACCGACATATATTTTTTTGAATATGAATATTTTCACTTACCATTCAGAAAACGTTCCTGTATTGTGATTTCGAATGGTCATACTGTTTACTTATCAGCAGGCTTAAATCTCTAATTCTTAATTAAAATACTTTCGCTAAACAATCGTGAGGAAGCTTATACACTATCCCACTATTTATGCATAACAATTTCAGTTTGTGTTTGATTTACGACATAATTCTTGATTGATAATCTGTTTATTGAAAATGGCCTCCAAACTAGGAACTGTTGGGCACCGAAAGTTCATCTATTTTCGTAATCGCACTTCAAAAACACTAGTAGTCAGAGACAGGTTTCATAACTACCGCAGCATTGTTCAATCTACTGTTATATTCTCTCGTTCTTTGACTGTTAGTTACATCTCATTGTTGACAGATTTGTTTCCTTTATTTGTACCGAAATCTCGGATACTGAAACTCCAAAATGGATATTTATGAAGAATTAGAACAAAACTTAACTGGTTGTTTCATGCTCTTGTTCACTGGTCTTTTTCGAGAGACGTGCTTTGTGATTTTTCTCTACAAACAGAAAAACTAAGTCTATACCAAGATAATAAAGATACGCGGACTACCTCTAGTATCAAGATTTTAAATGTACTACTCATTATTCCTGCTCTAATTACCTTAGGTAACTGTTTGTAACCTGTATAGTAGTTCTGCGTAATTGATCTATCTTTGTACTATAAGCTAATTAGATTTAGATTTTCGGATATGATCTCAATCTTTTCTCATGACTTTACAATACATCGACGACCTGTTGGGAACCCAGCCTGCTTCTCACTAGTCAGTCATAGGTTTTAGATAATCTGCGAAGCATGATGGTAGCCAATAATTCGGAAGTACTCTTATCCCCTTATACCTGTCACATTGATGACTGGAGCCCTTTTTAAGGATGAGAATGACAATCGCCGTTACTAAAACGCTTTCTCCCCGAACAACTCAGTTTTCGGTTTAGAAGTTTTCCAGTATCCTTAGGAAGAGCTAAGCGTTAGGTCATCTGGGCCTGGTGACTGGGCTTTACAAGTTGAAGTTTCCATAGATGGGTCAGTGATCACTGGTCAGAAAAAACATGGCAACCTGGTGGACGCTTTGGAGACGGCAGATCAGCTGAAATGTCCCACGAAATACACTCTATTTCCCGAGGTTCCTTTGAACGTTACGAAATCACTTTGATGGATTAGTATCTCAACATGGATAAAAAAATTTCCTTCGCTTTTGCAAACTATCGTCATTTGTGTTGTTTGTGAGGTAACTATCGGCTGTTTAAAAGACGATAAAATCACAGGTTCCGTTTTCGATTACTTTATGGTTTTGAAATATAGAATAGAAGTCATGCGTAGTATACCGTTTTTCGATCAACTGTGTCTTTGAGACTTTGGTTGTGTATCACTGAATAGCGTAGTAAATAATCCTGTCGTTAGGTGTGGGGTGCTAGGCAGTTGTTGTGAATTGGTTGGAGGCTGTGAATTCTGATCAACTGAGACGTGTTACATATGACCAACCACCACCTACAACGGTTTGGAATGTTGGCTGGTTAGTGTATAGAGGTGCCTCAAAAAGATATTGTATCAAACCATGAAGTTATTAAAATTGTACCTGATCCGTACTGACGGATGCAGACTACCTGGTCGAGTCCATGTCATCAGTTATTGGAGAAGCTGGATGATATGACTCAGAACCACAGTGGCCCAGATATATCCAATCATTATCTTCCTGTTATAACTGGGAATTCGACCAAACCACGTCCTTACAGTTGCATTTATCTAGTCTTTCAATTATTATCCAGATATGGATAATAAGAGTATAATAACAAATACATTGAGTGGGTTGGTCAATCACAGCTTACAATGTCTAGACGTATCACTTCCCTTGAGTTTTGAGCTTCAGTATTAATTCATACGTCTTGTTTAATTCTTCCCTTCTCGAGCCGTGTTCCTTATTATTTTCTGACTATCGTTAATACTACTATTATTTCCCTACTTTTTAATTTAACCTCATTTCGCTGACATGGAATATTGACTTAGGTTGACCGACATCTATATCAGGCTCAATGTTTAAACTGATTGATAAATATGTGAATGCATTTCGACGTACATAAACTTGATACATTAAGTTACTTATATGTCATCTAGCTGCTGTAGTAACTCCTACTATTGAATTTAATTCTACCAGACAATCTCTAGTTAGTCCCGTAAACCGATTATATTGTTTAGCAAGCTACTTCCCTTTTGGTGTTAAATTTGTCACTTACCATCATTTAGCAGTCAATGTATTCTTTCTACCACACTATATGCAACAAAACGATAAACAGCTGTTTGAATCCTACAAGTTAAGCTGTCTGCTGAAATAGCTTTCTAACTGTGAACCCTTGCTTACAGTAATTATCGTTCGTACGCACGTTGAAGATTCGATGTTAGAAGATATTCTTTACAACTACTGCAGAAATTTGTTTTAGGGACATCACAAGCAACCTGGTAAATTACTCGCTAAAGTTGGAAATTATATTTCGTACTTGATAGGGTATTACAATTGTATCATTATTTTAGCATTATAAACAATTGTTAGGAATGCGCGATCTCCGATTACAACTTACGAAAAGCAAATCAATATCGACTAAGTTTGTATTGCGTTACAGTAAATTATTCAGTGTGAACGCTGTCCATGTAATTTCAAGATATTTATGGTAACGATAATCACTCAGTTTGAATGTGCTAGTCATTTTTGTTGATCTATGACCGATAAACTTAATGCACTTGGATTGATTATACTGGGTTAACATCAAAAAGCTTCAACCAATAAACTGATGCTTTTACTCTATTTAGTGGTGTAAGGAAAATTAGAGGATAGAAGCAATCTTCTTTACAGTCGGCGCAATGAAATTATTAGCACAGTGTACGAACGTATCAAAAATTCACTGAATGTTCACTTCAAATTTTGACAATAAAACTGTTGGAGAGAGGTAATGTTTTGATCATATCAAGATGCATTAATCATATCTATGGACTTGTACAGAGAATTTAACTGCAGAAAGAATGACGTGTAAAGACACCAGGGTGGAAACTAAATCTTACTTGACGTTATAGGCAAATTTTAAAGAGGAAACTAAGTAAAAATTTTCATACATTTTGTAAGGCCATTATTAAGAATGCTAAATCTACCTAAGTTAAAGTGTTTTGCTACACGTAATTATAATTACGTATGTATTGAGTTCTTTTATATGCCATTAAGAATAAGACCACAAACTTCGTTACTGTATTCATCATACAACCGATAAGCCAAAGTAGTCGGACGTATCTTCTCATTATCTAATCATTATATCAGTAAGATGCAAACCAAAGTGTATCATAAATAATAAATCTACATAAGCACTAGCACGTTTTGCAATAAGGATATTGCAATCTTTCTTTTATATATTACCACCTCTGAATTAACTACTTTTATGAATCCGGTGTCCATCTTGTTGTGTTAATGAGGTATGGCAACTTGGACCGATGCATATATGTGCCTGGTAGCTGACTGACACGTTTTTGAATAAGAATGGGAATGACAAATATTTAGTTAGTAGATATGGAAGTAACTGGTTGGGCAAAAAACACCGCTTAGTTGTTACTGTATTAGCATTTCATTAAATAATTATTCGGTAAACATTCACCAAAGAGCGCGGTTATCCACGTAGTATATTTCTGTTTCCCTGGCCCCATCTTAACAGTATGAAGTAGCTACTACCTTGACGCGGTGGTCGGGCTTGCCTATCGTGATGACCCAACCGAGCTATATTGGCTGGAACATATGTTCCTGTAGGTTCTATCATGCCAGGCAGGTCGATTGGAGAACGGTAAGACTAAAAGCAGCAACTCAAGGTCTGAGGGCGAAGTCGTACTGCTGACTGTAGAGGGGTGTGACAGCAGCAAGGTGTTTCCCTCGGACAACCACCATCTACAGCGATGCTGCCTTCTCACAAGGGCTCTGCGGTCACGCTCTCAAGCCGTCAAGGCCGACATTAATCCGAATTCCTTTTCAGGTTCCTCAAGAAATACCCTTCCACGGTGTGGGCAGCCGGGAAGTGACACCAGCCCTCATACCCGTAACTGACTGAAATCAATGAGCGAATAGTTGAATTTTTTAATCGCTGTTATAAACTTGTGGATAAAATATTACGTAACTAACTGAATACTATGGTCATTTATTAAAGGTCAGGTTGTTTGCATTATAATGAAGGTGAAATATTTCATTTGACTCACAAACCCTTAGTTCTTTATTTCTTCGATTTGTCTATAAATATAGTTAACAACAATTGAGTAAATATTCTCTATATTTCACTTCAATACGACGCCTCATAGCGATTAACTCCAATTTTTCAGGACTTTTGATGGAGTTGGTAAGTAAACAAAGAGTGAAAAACTACAGCTTCTTGTTCTACTTATTTACACTACGTGGAAAATCTATGTACGTAAAAGAATGAGTAAACATAAGATTTAAGTTGTAGATGCTACTCTCCATCGATAAACTGAAAACGTTTTCACTTTTTAATGGAGATTAACTATTTATAGATCACTGATTTATTGCAGCTATGAATTCGTAAACGACCAGATTAAATCCGTCTGTTATTGGGCATCATTTAATGATATATGTATATGAGATACTGTCAAATGTTCTGTTTCGGTGCAATTGATCAGTTGTAAAAATTCATATTCAATATTAAAGATCCTCCATAGGTAGGTACGCATAAATAATAGATCTTGTAATTTCGCTTAAACGAACTTATTATTCCGAAGAAAATTGAACAATAGAGCTACATTTTAAGAAAATCCTAATATGTATGTTAACAAATAGCAACTAACTTAGGAAGAAATCTTAGTTGTATTTATGTTCACAGTAATAATCTTTGGTATCGACACTCTAGAAATCTGAGATAATTTGAAATTTCATGTTGAATGTCTTCTTTTTCTGAATTAGATAAATGTTGATTTGTGTTCATTGTTTGGTAAGCTTTTGATATGATTTGTAATTGTCTGAACAATTCATGTTCCAAGCGATCGTTTCCTGTTAAATAACCGTTTTTCTTGGTATTTTTCCATTTTAAATTTGATATACCATGTCTCGAATTTGTTACAGTAGTACAATGTGAGGATTCCGTTGGAATGGATGCATCCAAATCAGTCTGGTTATTTTGGGTCTTCAATATCTAGCAGTACATAAATGAACAATATTTAAGTTCTTCGTTCAATATTTCAGTGCTGTTTATTGAATTAAGATGATATCGCTCCTCAAATTTTGATTATGAGTGCATAATTATTTCTGGTAATACGGTAATCAATTATTCACCTAATGTGTCCGTTGAATGGACAATGAGACTTTTGTGTTCGTAATTTTATTCTATTCAGGTACTGAGTTGATAGAAGTAAAAATCACACTCAATTTTATGTTTGCTCAACTTAATATTGATAGTTGTTTGTTAGGAGTTTTACGAATATAAAACGGCTCATTGCATACAATGATCTCATTTCAAGAAAATCCTCCTCCTAGCTAACATACAGTTGGAGAAAAACTTACTTGTCTTTGCAAATTTTGAAAATTTAAACTGATATTTCTATCAATTTGTTCTAAATCTCCAGTATCACTCATTGTCATAGTCTTTCTGTTGTTGGTTTTTTCATCATCATCATTGCTTATATTTTCTTCTTCAATGTATGAATTCAGAAGTTCTTCAGCTCGATCCAATATCTCTTGAGGAAGTGCAGTAAGCCTGGCCAATTTAATACCTGATTTTATGAGGAAAAAACTTCCAACTGAAATAACAACATTAGTGATTATTATGTTAATCTCAAATGCATAGAGCTTGACATAACAATCAGTGATTTCCAATGATTAAAAATTCTTTGATTGTGTGTATTTATACATCTAAAATTGACCCAAATTGTTGAATGGTACCCAACCACCAATTATAACTAATTTCCTACGTATTTAAGAGGAAAATCAATTTCACACTGTACGAAACATTGGCTATGAAAGAAACCCAAGAAGCTATTGTTTCTTTTGTAATAGGCAGCATACTTAAAAAAAACAAATATTCATAATCTATGTAAGAATAGTTTTGATTAAATTTGAGTGGAGCATGTGGATGAAGACAATGATTGTAGAAGAATTAGGAAGTTGTTCAAACAGATGTTCATCTATAGGCTAAATATATAAATATTCCCGAAGAGAAAACTAAGAACTCGGAAACAGAATTTTTCTGAATAAATTATTAGCATCTTAGTTCATGAACGAAACTGACCATCTGAGTAAAATTCAAGAAAGGATATTACGTAACAAACCCTTGGGATCGAGGTCAATAAGGCGCAGGAAGATTGATAACTGAGTCTTTACGAATATAAATTGTGAATAATTGTCTGATGATTAGTGCCAGTAAATGTAGAAAGTGTATTTAAATAATCTCAAAAATTAAAAGTTAACAGTTTAGGGGTTGTGGAGATTTTTAAGTTTTTGATTGAGATCCTGAACCGATTGATGTTAGATCACCATTGAAAACCTGGAAGCACTGGACAGCCGTTTCGTCCAGGTTTGCAATGGTGATCTAACATCAATCGGTTCAGGATCTCAATTAAAAGTTAAGTAATTTCAACGTTTTGTCTAGCGAACAGGTATATTCTATTTAGTTTGTGGCATTTACTACTATTTCACGCCTACGTAACTGATTGTAACTTTTGGAAAGACCAACTGATCTAATATTTTGGAGTCGTTATGTACAAATGCATTCAACCTTTACAATTATTTACTTGTAACCCGGACTTTTTATGAGGATGTAGTGCGTATGTTTTATCATCGCTTTCTCTCTCTGTCTTACATCTTTAGATTGGTTTTTTTGTCTGACTATAAATGTTGAGTCACGTTTAATAAAGTTGTATAGGCTGGGAACCTTTTCTCCATACCATATCTCCTACAGTCTGTTCAAAGTAAGTTCTTCCGACCCGATTCGTATTTGACTTTTATTACCACTGTTGTCCAACGAAGTTAGCCTAATTAACAGTATACGGAGTTGAACGGAGAATTTATACTCTATGGTTTATTTGTCGTCATTCGTTGCTACCGATTTATATTGATCGATAAAAGGCACACAAGAAAAGAAGAAAGGCTGTCTACCTACCATACATTATTTTGGGTGATATTCCTTTGTTTAATTTATAAGTAAAAGTGATTTGACCAAGATCTTGACTGGTTGAATCAATGAATTCGAAATGTTTTAGATGTTGATTCATTTTGAATGTATTTGAATAATTTTCATCCGAGAAACTATGAACTAACGGAGATTCTTCAGTGAAACTGCTGTTATTAGCATATGATGTTTCATGAGTACTTCGATTTGATGTACCTATATTATGATGTCCATGATAAATATTTAAAACTTCTTCTTGTACTGAAAAATAATAACTAAAATAAGAATAGATAAATGAAATAATCATCTGAAAACAATAAAACTAGAATATAAGTTAATTCATAGAATTACTGATGTGATGTGATTTACTTATATCCACAAAAGTAGTATATAACGATAGTCAAGAACAGAGTGTATTTTAGTAGACGATCGAGAAGGAAAGAACGAAAACGGAAGGCAATTGGTATGAAATTGAATGAACAATGAAATTTAAGACGATGGACTGATATTTGCTAAAGAAACAGTCAAGTTTGAGACGACGGATTGATATTTTGTAAATGAACTATTTACTGTATGGTTCTCAGATTTTACTAAAATGTTCTGTAATTCTGTGTTCAAATGCATTCGGTTGCCCACACTCGTGTTCTTGTTCACTACACTGGCATTGAATCAATAATTAGATATTGAAAATTCAAGAATATTATTTTAACTATATCATCATTGAAATTAATCATTAAATTGCCCAACTGGGGAAAAAAATTAGTTATATAATATTTCTTATTATGTTTATTATGGAAGTTAATTTATTTTCATGATTATTTTGCAGTTCCTTTCTAGACTGTGTGTTTCTTAATAAAATAATCATTCTGTTCTCAAAGTTAAATGTTTCTAATTTACATACCATTTCATAACTCAAATGAAAAGTAAATGTATATAATACTCTAACGGTAAAATCAAGCAAATAGAATATGTAAGAAATTTCGTTTAAATTTGATCGTATAGTTTCACAGTAGGAGAGATGGAATATAATTAGCTGTCCCATGGCAACTAATAATTAATAAGTAAACTTTATTCCATTCTATGTATATCGTATTAACTAATTATGAAATATGAAATTCAACGGTTCAAATCAATTATCTTATCTGAATATGTTAATTGACTGGAACACTAAAACAACACAAACTTCCAATTACAAATACATTCTTTCTCTTTCAACTCATTATTTTATCTTGTTTATTTATCTTCATTTAATGCATGCTGTGACATTTTTAATTCATATCATATATCAGAAGGGGTTTGTGGAGATTTTTTTTTGAAATTTTCACACATTGAAATCATGAGTCAATTGAAGCTAGACCACCATGGAAAACCTGGAAGCACTAGACGACCGTTTCGTCCTAGTGTGCGACTCCTCAGCAGTGCGCATCCACGATCCCGCACCCCGCAGGATTCGAACCCAGGACCTACTGGCTTCATATCATATATAAAAATTATATATTTTCTTAATATTCACCGACCGAAGACAATATATAGTGAATGAAATTTCTTCTTCTCACTTAGGTATACACATAATCTGTTACCTTAACACTTCGTTTCACATCACATGTCTGTTACACACTAATGTAAATACCTACTTTAAATATTGTTAACGTTGATTGGATTACTTCTTCAGTAGACAGTAAACCGGAGAACCATGTACCTATTTATATTCGACGATGTTGATGTTTGATTATATTTCCTTGAAAAAGCTTGGACCAGATTGCTAGGCGGAACGTTGGATTTACTTCAAATTCTTTCAATGAGATTTTACAAATACATTCTTCCTTTTTAAATAGAATGTGTTCCTTAATTCAATCACCGTTGAATGAATACGTACTGATTAGACTAATGGATTTTTCTCTAAACTTTACCAGTAATTATATCTTTATCTGTAACTATATGATATAAAGACATCGCGAAATATTCGTGTTATAATTAATAGGACATCTCAATGCTCATCAATTCATTTCATTTAGTTTCCCCAATTACTATTTCGACAACCATCCTTAAAAACAAAAATATCGTATAATTATCAAAATTATACTTCACGTTTCTTCGTTATGTAAACTGAATTTCTATTTGATAGACATTTTTAATTAACTTCACTTCCTAGATTTCATCCTTATGCATGTGTGTTTGGATAGATCAAATGTATTTATTTACTTACCCAGTAAACATTTATTATCAAATAACATAACCTCATACTCTTGTAATCAAAATATGACATAATTTCAAACTGCGCTAATCATTAATGGCTTTTCTCGGGTCATTTTATGTTCTTGAAAACTATAGTAGTACTATGGATCAATCTTAATACTTATTGTTATAAGTATAAAGTATTCATAGTTTGCATCACGGACTAATTTTATTTAAACAATCATTAAAAACAAGGAAACATTAAGAAGATATTCCGTCCTATTATCTGACTCTTCGTGGAAGCACCCTACTAAGGATTTCCATACTAGGATGTAGCAGCTTCCTAATTCTTCTTGGTTTTCAATGCCTGTCAAACTAAGATCAGTCCATGATGTAATCTATGAAATACTATACGAACTTCCCACAGTAATAAACACTATTTAATTGGCGATACTTCAAAGAATTAAAATATCATAATAACCCACACTTCACTATCGAACAACTAGTCAGGTATTAAGAAAATTAAAATATTGGTGTGAATTATGGCATATATATTTGACCTTGATTAAAAAAGAATATATTCTACCGTATCATTTCATTATGTATACTACCAAGGCTGACTTAAATCTGAATTTATTCGATTAGTCGCTTTTGTTCATGAATTACGAATGTAAAGCCACTGTCAACTGAAACTCATTCTGGTAATAAATACAAAGAAATCGACGATAACACTTTTTTATTGAATAAAACTTCAGTGAGTAACACCTCAGTTTTCTATTTTAAAATGATATACAGTTGATTCAAATAACTCCTATGTACAAAGTTATTTGTCTTAGTATGATTATTGATAGAAGTCCATAGGTTCCTTTCATGAATATAATGATAAGACTATTGTTTAATATTTATATCGAATGATTACAACTTAAAGTTTTGCCTATTTCTCTTTCAGTTTTCATGCCTTCTTTTGTGATTGTTATTCGTTTATGTCTTCAAATAGTATGAATTTCAAGAATTAATGTTAACAAATAAATAACTGCTGACGAGTCCCATAATAGGACGAAATGGCCATCCAGTGCTTCCAGGTTTTCCATGGTGGTCTAGCTTCAATTGACTTATGATCTCAACTATTAAAATGAATAACTGTTAGCTATATTTATGACATCGTTCACAAAATCCATTTTATTGTGTACAATTATTAAATTATATATAAGTGAAAGTAATATATTGAAGTATTGTAATCGAAGCCAGATAGTGAACAGCAAAAGATAGTCCAGTTTCAATGCATGTTACTTACTTTTCTACATTTGGATAGAATGAAGCTAAGGAGGTCAATTCATAACGATTAGTTGCCAAAAACGTGAAAGCCTACATTAACAAACAGCGTTAAACATTTCAGTTATTGGTGATAACATCAGAAAAAATAAGAGAAAAGTATATGACATGAATTTTAAGTTTTGACTTGTACACTTTTCGAGTGTTAGTTCAAAACATGCATCCATTTATAATATGATCATGATCCATCTTAAGAATCAGCTTATTATGGCTAAGTACAATGGATTCCTGTATTGTTAGCTGCAACTGACTGTTAAATGATTGTAAAATCATAACAGAACTAGATAACAATTTGGCTGTTATTAAATACTAACACTCTACTTCTAAAAACCAGAAGAGTTAATAATAAATATATTTTTGTTGTATCCCAATGGGTAGAAAAATTGTATTCCTGACGTTTCGTGACTTAATGTAGGCCACTTCATCAGAGTAAATAAATAATTTTTTTTCTACCCATTGTGATTTAACAAAAATATATTTATCACTAACTCTCTACTCAATGCTCAAATTATTTAAAACTATCAAATCCAACCTTGGTATTGAAACCTACAAAAGAATTAAGGGGTTATTATTAATCTGAGCTGTCTTAAATCTTGATATGACCGAAAAGAATAGGCATTTAAGCTGCATCGAAGCATGTGTGATCGGGTTGTAATTGCAGGAGAGTGGTTGAATGCTCTAGTTTAAGTGTTGATTATATAGTTCAGATTGTCCATAATAGTATTAATCACCTGTTTACAAATCACATAGTGATAGTGAAATGATAGCTGAGAACAATACTTAGCGTTTGTTAATCTAGAATAGTTTTCAAATGCTAATTTGCTTGATTTCCAGAAAAGAAAAAAAACAGCAAGTATATAACTTTTAATTATACAGTTCGACCATATGACTTCTTTCATTTAATAATATAGACAAAATCTTAACCACACATCAACATAGTTAAGAAGTTACAATATAGGGGTAACTATGTCATAAATGAAACGAAACTGAGTAATAGGTCTGTAAAAAAGTAATATCGACTTAAGAAAGGTACAATACTTGACAACGGTTTATTTATCACAAAAAAATGTACGGGTAAGAGAATACATAGATTCAACAATTGAAGTACTCAACGATTACGCAATAATAATGTGAACAAAAACTATGAGTCGAACAGTTCTGAAAGCTCAGCTTGCCTCATATTCACTCCATTATAGTGAAATTGTCAATAATAATCACTTCTTAGAAGTATTAAAAAACTAAACTAAAACACAGCGGAAACTAAGCATAAGTAAATGAACTCCAGTGACAGTACAAAGTTAGGTAATGTGAACAACTTTTAACACGTAGATCCATCTATAAGTTATTGGATTCTATAACTGTCTGAAATCTATGAAGAGAATATATTTTTGATTCCAATCCCGTACTAGAAATAATCATTGAATTTAACTAAAATGAACCTATTACGTTTACTAGATACAGAACAATAAGTAAATGTGTTGCGAAACCTTTTTACATTCTGAACTCACTTTATGTTCCAGTAATGCTTCACAGATAGCCCAGTTGAGATATTCGACTTCATCAGGGTCAGTATCTCAAAGAAAAAAGAATTTTAAGTTTAGTGATTAGTGAATATCTTCGCAATAAGATGGAAGTTCTTCATCAGAGTTTAAATAATCAAATGCGTGCAAATTCCTTACCAAGTTAAAATCATCAGTAAAAAATGTTAGTGAGATAAAGTCTATTATCTGAAGCCCAAAATCATCTCAAACAGTAGTAACGTTGAATCATATACTGTTAAGCTATCTAAATCAAAAATATTTTCAGAGGTAAATATTTACTCTGAAAATAGATCAAGTCGGAAATTAAGTGTGTTGATGTAGTCCAGTTTTTGGCTTACTAATAGGAAACTCATAGATGACTAAAAGTAATCATGACACAAATAGTCATGTATTTTAATTTTTATAAAGTAAATAACAATTGGTATGTAATGATAATATTACGTCTACTACAATTTAAAAATAACAATAAATAATACTTTGATTCATTTCTCCAAAAACTATATAATTTAAACGGCTGTGTATTTGAACCAAATCGAGATGACTTCTTCAATCATACAATTCTATAAATACAATCTGATTTCAAACCTGAATAGGTCACCTTTATCTTGTATAACTTCTTAGACTCAATACATTGTCACATCAGTTATAGTTGATGATATCAGAAAGTCAAGTATAGAGATTAATGGTTGGATTTATTTCCAACATAGCACAAGTGTAAGCCGAAAAATGAAATAAATGCGTAAGTTACACAACAACAAATAAATCAGCTGAAATATTTTTTCAAGAACTTATGTAGATAAGCTACTACAAGTCGTTTAGTTTAATAACTGAAAAACATACATTTAATTAATGACTGTAAATTATCTAAATATTAAACTGAAAAGTTATAACTGGAAACATTAAGTCCCAATGTCTTATTGTGGTGCGTGCTACTTATACTGATATAAGTAGTATATTATGCTAGTCAGAAATGAAATGTCTGGCAGCAGAAGATGAGGGGAGATCAAGAAAACAAGAGCGGGAATAGAATGCAATTCTTATGAAAATGTAAGAACAATGAAGTCTGAGGCATTTTGAGACAATTGGTGGACATTTTGCAAATTAACGATTTAATATATATTTCTCAGATTTTAGTGAGATGCTCTGTAATTTTGTTCCAAATACATTCGGTTGATCCCCACCCGTATTCTGTTCACTACACTATTACTAATAATGGCATGAGAAAATCTCGAAACGATCGTCTTCATTTTCTAAGAATAATAAGTGTTGACCAAGTGAGAATAAATAGAAACCACTTGAAACAGTCTTAAGATCTTTCTCATATTATGATACTATCAAATTACGCTTAAATTTTATCAATTAGTTATAAACTATCTAACTATGGCTTATCATTTTCTCACCACTTTTGATTTCGTCTATTTATAATTCATGTCATTTTTTTTCTTACAAGATCTATGAGTTATGTGAGGCATCATACTGTTCGAGATCAAACTTCATATAATAACCCATTTATAAAAGAACAAAATTAATAACACATTTTAATATTTGTTTTCCTAAATAGATGACAAGGAATGGACAGTGCCACAACTAAATAAACATATCTCTATAAACTTACTCTGGCATAAACCATCGATAAGAATAATAGATGATCTGGAGAAATTTTGTAAAATATAAGTCAATTCTCTTATCTGTAATGTAGAAAAAAACATTTCAACATTACTTACGCATGAATTAGCATTAGACGTCAATTGGTATATACATGTATTGTTCTGCATAGTCAATTTAAATTCAAATGAGCGACATCATAATAAAGTCTATTTATCTACAGCATTTTGATACACAGAACTATATTGTGGTATATGCTACTTATGTTGAGAGATATGAGTACTATGTAACACAGATCAGGTGTAGAATGATTACAACAGAAAATTGAATTGAAGAGAACAGAAAAGGAAACTGAAATTAATTCTAATGACAACAGAATTGGACGAGTCATGAAGTACATAAAGGACAATTGATGTAAGATGTGCAAATCATTTATTTACTGTATGATTTTCATATAATATGAAAGCACTCTTTAATTTTACATTCATCAATAAATGACTTATCCCTATCATCATGTCTTCGTTCACTACAATATAATCAACAATGTATTTCATCGCTATATGTTTAATATCCTAAATTTTAATTAAGATATTCAACAGTAAAATATAGTAAATTGAGAAATAATTCAAAGTTGTAGAATGGCGCATAACACACTATATCAATTCATGATTTTGTATTGTTTGCAAAAGAGCTACAATATACTAAAAGAAAAATAATTTGAATAATATATAATCCAATTGAAGAACTTATTTGTAAAGTCTATATTTTACAAGTAAAGGAGCAGTATAAGAAGTTACGATTCAAGATTGGATCAATATAGAATTTATAGAAAACAGTAAGAATGATGTATGCTAGCTGATTTACAAGTCAAAAGTGTTAACTATAATTTGGTTTCATTAAGAAAAAACATTGAATATTGTGAACAGATAGTGAGAAATATATAAATGTTATTTAAATAAGTGACTAAATTAGGCATTTTTGTGTGGATTCATTGACGGTCGATGAAAGCAACTACAGTATTCGTTAAACATTTGAATGTTCTTGGTTTGATTGCTTTTGAGATTTTCAGTAAGTACAATTAGTGTATTTTACAGGTAAAACACTTGATTTCTAACCATTTGGTTAGAAGTCGAAATTCGATTTCACTAACATTGGTTTTAATAGTTGAGTTACAAGAAAGTTTTGTTCTTTGTTGTTAACTTTCAACAAATGAATCTAAATACAGGATTAAACCGGTAACTCAATATTATTCATTCAATTCACCTAGTAATCATATTTAATGACTTGATTTCTCTTATAGGTTTATTGAAAATACTCATCTTTTTCAAATATTACACAGTATACAATTAATCTAAGAGTTAGTAACACCTAATCACAAATTCTAGTTTAAACTATGAATCATTTACATTGATTGACTTACTTCATTAACAAAACTAGATTCCCCTAAAAGTATATCATCTTGTCCTTCTGTATGAAAGAATATTTGATCAGTAAGACGTACTGAAGTGAATTCAGCCGGAACAAATGAACCTATTTGTGCTAAAATTTGTATATATGCAATTTGTCTAAGATAGGTTGTTTTTCCACACTAAAAAAATAAATACGCAGACAAACAAAATATCATAAATGACATATTAAAAGGGGTAATCGTTTATGAAACGGTATTCATTCTTGATAAATATCTATTTCTTAGATATCATGTAGTTACTGTGAACAATTCAATTTAGGTAATTGTTTCCGAAATTACTAGACACAAATGTGAAATGTCTTGATAATAATAATAGAATTTATTAGTTGCAGTATTAAAGCTTATTTAGTATTTCCACATACGAATCACTATTACATATTAGACGTAAATTTAAGTCAGTTTAAAGAAGTTCATTAGGTTCCATAACACCATTTACAACGAAGTCCAGTATCTCAAGAATTGTACACTCAACTTCTTTAACTCACAGTTTTTGTATGAATATTTTAAAACTTGTTTTGAAAAGAAAAAAAATATTAATCACTTACCATGGGAGGTCCAGTTATAACATGAAAGTTCAAAGCAGGTGATGCATACTACAATGAAATATAAAATAAAAATATTGTTACCATTAAACTTGTATGTTACCGTATGATTTGCCACAGATAATGATTTCTTTTCTTCATCAGTAACAATGTTCCTTCCATTTTTAATCCCAAGTATATTATTAAATACTGGGCAAACTGTACAAAAGTTAAAAATTAAAACATAAACAAACCATTTTCTTAAATTTATCATTGCACAACATCTATTTTCAGAAACATTAATAAACTTAAATAGTTCATACTTACCAGATAATTTATAGAGATTATATTAAATTATATTGAAAGATTAACATAAGCAAGTCTTATGGAGTGAGTTGAAAGAAAGTTAGCGACAGTCATGTCACATTGTGACACCAGTCCATGAGGTCATTAATTGTCGGTCTGAGCAGAGTTAGTGTATACAGATAACCTGGTTCGAGTTCGAGCAATTGCTTGGAGACTTAGGGTTACATGTCATGTAACCATTTACAGTGACTTAGTTGAATCAACTAGTTATTTTACTCCATATTTTCAGTTCCATTATTCTTTCGTAATTATCTTTTTTTTTTACTTTGATTTTTCTAGCCATATCCTTAATTTAACTCGTAAGGGTTTGAGTTATGCTCTTGTTGATGTTCGTTACTGAACTTTGAGCAGTCCTAATTGGTAATAGGTATAATGTGAGGATTACCTGGATATATCCATTTTGTCACAAGTTTATACAGAATTGATGAAACAATGTTTAGATTAACTAAAATTATCACACCAATTAAGTTGAATAATGATAAAAAGATAGTTCAGTCACTTTTTATTCTCGTTTCATTGATTTTTATAGGTATAAAGATTTCCTATGGTATGAGTAATGTCCAAAACTATGAACTACCCGAATATACCTCACAAAAGTAACAAATTGTTGTGCCCAGTTATATCTGGTATAATTGGCTATCTGTCGTTATCATTCTAATTAACAAGAACGTGAGTTAATTTGAGAATTAATGTTTGACTTTGTTACACCCGACTAATATACATCTTTTATAGAACGGAATTTGGAATGATATCAGTTCTCGTGAAGTGATATCATTGTAGGGAGTATGAATCTATTTACATTTAATAATAATATATGAGATGGATCTAAAATATTTCGACGAAAAATACTTGATTCTGAGGTTAACAGAATAACCTTGTAAATTTTGTTACTATTTTCGAAGCCAAGTGACAAGCTGATCAAAATAGCAAAGGAAAACCGTTTGGTTAGATATCAATATTTAAACAGAAATGTACTTTGTACTTACCGAAATGATTTCTGAGAGAATAAGTTAATGACATTTTGGCGAATGAGGCTAATAGATCCAGACCTGCGATTACTTCTGACAAACGATAAAACAGTGCCATATCTGGATGCAGTCCAGTAATTAAGTCGCTAATAATTCTATAATTGATAATTAAAAATAGTTAAAATTTCGATCTGCGTTCCTGCAATAATTATTACATACAACATAAGCCTTTGAGATGTCCTGAATTTCCTAATAAGTAATTAATATACATAAACAAGGATATAACTAAGTTCACTTGTTACGACCAGTCTCAAATTTATTAGAACAGTAAGTTATGGCTTGTCAGATGAATGCATCTGCATTCCAAAATTGGTTTTCACTCCAGGACTTGAACACAGTTCTGTTCTCATCAAACGCCACTGCGTTATCCATCTAGCTACTGGGTTCGGATAGCCACTCGCTTGTTCAATGGAGGTGAATTTTGATTCATTTGATTGGTTGTTTAAATCGCCCTATCGATGTTTCGGCTGATCAACTGCAGTCCTAAACATTAAATGAAAGATTAAAACTACCAATACTAAAAAATTAGTTGACGTCTTAATAAACTACATCCCAGTTTTGATTCTGCAGCATACACCCAATAGATCATTATGACAATACGAAGTATTTAAGTCATCTTTATCCCACTTTCAACTTTCCCTTACCACTTACAAAGTAAAGTTGGTAGCTCATCAAAAATTCCATAGCTTTTAATAAAGTATAAACCTTTTACAACAATGACTTACTGATCAGCAATATGATATACTTCATAAAGAGATCCTTTAATCCGTTCTATTTAAAAAAGAAAAGGAAAAGCCCATTTTGTCAAAATTCAAACCATTTGTAAATATTCCCCAAAGATTTTAAAGATAACAGTTCTAAGTAATTATTAGCCTAATTTTCAATTATCAGTATCCATTTTTGATTACACCTTCAATATGCATTTAAAAATCAATGTTCTATGGTTCAGCTCCAAACAGATTAAGATTTTAGACTACTTGATTATAAATAAATATCGCACGTTTGTATGCCTAAAATGTAGCTTCAAGAGTAAATTAATTTGACAGTACCAATACTAATATAAGAAATTAACTTACTTCATCAGAAAAGTAAAGTTTTACAAAACAATAATATTTACTAAAGAAAGCAAATTTTCTGTATGTTTGTATAAAATCAAAAACACTATAGTAGTTCTAAATACTTCAATTGACAACAAATTCGACGTTCGCTATTTTTTCACAATCTTAGTAAATAATCTTTTTGTGTTCTATGTGAACCGTAAGTTTGTTGATCGTAAAATTCTTAAGATCACACTTGCTGAAGGGATCGTCATGTGAACCAGCTCAATTTCTTCTTCAAACCTTTCAATATAGTTGTTTACATAAGTACGAGTACATCCGTAAACACAACTAGCGGTGACGTCAGGTAAATACTTACCTGAGATCAGTTTAATGAACAGGTGGTATAATATTGCTAAAAAACACTTCAGAATAACTACAGTAAATCTTCATTTCGGTGTGCTCTTCATCCTTCTATCAGTTGGCTATGGCGGATAGATACAAGTCTTTTACTCAGATTAGTCGTAACTTAGCATATTGCTTTTCATAATTTTTTAATGCCTTTCAGATTGTATGTTTTCCGTTAAGTTCTTCGTAACGACTCACTTCTTAAGCTTAGAACTCTCACTTTCTTTGAAAAGCAGTTTATTCAGACTATATTTATAAATAATAAAATGAAATCAGTATTATTTATTTACTGTATATTTTTCCGCAGTTATTGATGTTTGTATAATACTGAAGATTAAGCGTTTGGTTTGAATTTTATTATCAGGTTTCATTAAAAATTAGTCTCTCAGGTAGCCATCCCTGAATTGATGAAAAAGATTTTCGAAGCACACTAATTATCATTATAAGTAATAAAGGTGTCTCTAACATAAACACACATTAATACATAGTGTTTTCAAATTCAAGATCCATTTTATTGTTGCTATGGTTACTTTTCAAACTATCCCCGCTTAATCAATTTATATATATATAACAGTTGACAAATTAAGCTTTCGGTTTCGCTAAATAATATTCATATAGACAGAAAAAAATTAACTTAATTGTTTGATTAAATCCATATAATTTGGTGTGACTATAATTTATAAACAACGTTCAAGTGATGCTAAAGTGACCTTGGGAAAAGTCACCTACTTACTCGGGTTTAAAGTGTTATAAATTAGTGTGAAGAATTGAGATTAGAGCATAAAGTTAGAAGTTAAGGTTAAAGATTAGAGTTGAAGTTTTCATCACGAAATGAAAACAGTTGTAATGCCGTAATGTTATTTACTCATTTAGATGAATGAATTTCATGCCAAAATTCAAGTTCTGAAATCTTTAATTTCATTAGTTCGTTCACAATATATAGTATTCTGGATAGTTCATTTATTACAATATGTTAGTCACCCTCCTTGTTCAAATAATTTTCAAGAAAATGGTTTATTTTAATTTTGTCAACATTATAACCTCACCACATTTTTGGAGCGGTTTACATTTGTAAATAATGTTAGGTAGTTAAAGATAGTCGGTAGGAAACCTTGGACCTCTGTTTTGTGTTCGTCGATACCCGGTAAATTGTTGCAACACCGATCGTGAAGAAACGATACTCCTTGTATGAATAATCAGCTCTATGGTCCGATACATTACCCCTGATCAATTTTTGTAGAGAGTGAGCTGGACTTTTAAATCCCAGTAGAAAAAAATAATTTGTACGATATTTTACTCATTTTTCACTGAAGAGAAAGTCTTACTTATTGGAAAGCATTTTGTCGAAATAATATGAAATTTGATAGAATTTAATATTACAAAATATCATAACCTTATGTTTTTTGAAAGTTTACTTTCCATATCCGCAATTTGAATCAACTTACCATTTAAACGAATCTAAAAGAAAAACCATAGAAAATTGATGAAGCCTAAATGTTCACCTAGTCAAGGTAAAACTTATGTTAATAATGTTAACTAAACACATGTAGAACAATACAGTTTAGATTTTGTTGGAAAAGAATTGAGAAAACTATAGCATGTTATATGATTCTTCTTCATGAATTGGGGAATCATGGATTAATATGATTTCCGAAGCAGTTTGCAAAATAATTTGGAATTATTTAGAGAAATATAGCACTCCAAATTGGAATCTGAAAGTTTATATTTATTGTCTATAAAAATGGAGAAGCTTAGATATGTTTGTTCTTCAACTTAGGGCCGTAAATGTTTTTCTGGAATCCGTTTGTGAATATAGATACTAAGTGTGAATCTTCAGTCATATATCGACCTCAGTGAGTCGAAATTCAGATCTAAACCAACAAATGCAAACCTAAAGTCAGTACTCCGTATTATAATGAGCGGAGTGATTCCTAACTATACTACACTAGTGAAAAACTGCATAGTTCCGTTCATCCCAGATGATGATATCATTATCGCTAAGGGTTAAGTAATTAAACTTTAATTTCACTAACAACCAGCTCTCGTCAATATCCTGATTTTATACATTTTCTTATTGCGTATGTGTAACCCATTTGACAGTGTCTGTATTTATTAAGCCTTTTAAAAGAAAACATTTGCCCACCTCAGTGTTACATTTAACAAGTGACTAATGTTCAATGTAAATGAGAAGTATTTTTCTCCGCTAGAAACTAGCCTCCAATATATGCATATATATATTTTTCACGATTTACGAAAAACTAAGACAAAATCATGACCCAAAATTAAGCCATATATCATTTATTCCCAGTTTTAACAGTGTTCGAAAATGAATTATTCTGGTAAAAAAAATGTATAAACTACGTTTTTTAAAGTATTTACGAGATCGAACCATGCTAGAGTCTTCCTTTGCTAGTCTGAAACTGATTGAAAAATATTCACTGTCCGTTGTATTGCATACTTAAATTGTTTTTCCCGGTTAGCTTTGTTAGTGAAGTTGTTTTCTACGGGATGGTTTTGCTGACCCCATGCCAAACGTTCCTCCTTCACCCGGGTTTGGGACCAGCAGTAACCCTAAAAGAGTTACAGCCGGAGTTATTGTATTACACATTTTATTAAAATTATCAAGATTCATCAGTTTCTTTGTTTGATTGTGTGTGAATTAATTCGATAAATGTATAACCCATAATTACTTCTCACTTACAGCTTATAAATGATGTCATTCAAAGTACACTTCCGTATAATATCATGTGACGGCATACAACATGCACGAAATGTTATATAACAAACTAACAAAAATTCTCTAAAATAAAAATTAACAAACTGTGAATAATAAGTTTTTTCAGTAGCACATAAATCACTAACAATAATCATATTATCACTTACAAGTGAATTTGTTGTACAATGTACAACATTTTTTGATATAAATGGTTTTTTAAACTCATCTGGAAGATTTTGAAGTACAGGACTATTGCTAAGCTCGGATGTTGTCAGAGTCCTATGAGGATATTTATTATGAACAGTATTTCGATTAGTTCTATGCAATGTTTTACATGCTTGGATATTTCCTTGTTGTTCGTCCTCTTCTTCTTCTGCTTCAATAAAGATGTTTTCATTTAAAAAATTAGTGTCATTAGACAATGTCGAAGTGCCATAACTGATTTTCGATGACGATGTTTTTGTGTAAGTTTTTAATGATTCTTCAGGTATTTGAATGTAAAATCCACGAGCTTTATTGTGAGATATTCGCAATGGTAGATTATATTGATGTGAAAGTCTGCTAACTTCATCTTTTATGTAAAAAAAAGTAAAAGCGATAATAATAAAAAATGTTACAAACCAATGTAGCAATTTTAAACACTGATCGACGATAGCGGGCAGTGGAATTCAAGACGCACGTTTCCTCCTGTCTCTGACTAGACAGTTTAATTTATCTGCATCACAAGGATGGTGTTCACACCGGAACTGGAACTTAAAACCTGTTGTTACAAACTTCATCGCGTTATCCACTTAGTTACTGGATTCAGACAGCCACTGACTTGAGTAATGATGTGAATTTGAATTTTGGTTCATACATACTGGTTATTCGGATCTTCCCAATGATGTCCGGGACCGAAATTGATCAATCTATTTCGGTATATGTGCACCCTACCCTGTACAGATAGCCTCGATATTGCCAATAAGTCACAAAGCATTCAGGCAGAGATGATGTTGCACGGACGACAATGGTTTTAGGTTTATAATGACTTTTTAAGATGAAATCTTGCATTATTGTACTGAACGAGACCATAGGTCGAAATAATCAAATGTCCTTAATCACAAAACGACATAATTGATATGTCTTGTCGACTGAATGCTACTTGTTATATCTGGTCGTCTCTGATCGTTGTGTCGGAATCGCTTATCACTTATACTCGAAACGAGGGACCTCTGCAATTCCCGCGACACGAAAGTAAAAACATAAGGACTGGTATAAGTAAAGAATTATTAACCCCAAAACACGGCGATGACCCTAGTCGAAAATACACTCATTTATATACTGATTGTACACCCATTTTGATTAATAATTAAGATGGAATCACATATATGAAAAATACTCAGAGTTATAACAAATCACATACTAAGCATAGTTCATGTCAATCGAATACAAGAATATCGTATGTTATATAGAATAAAAGGCAAGACTCTAATTTATGGAAGAGCCAATCAGAGGCGTTTTAGAGATTTCAGGGTTATGGCGCCAACTTCAGTGCTTAATGCTAACGTACGATCGGTTCACAGGGAATTTTGTACAAAACGTGATAATTGAACGGCTATAACAAATAAAACGGCGGGACTATAATTTGTGGACGAATCAAGATAAGAGATCTCGTATTTTAACGCGAAAGCCTTTCATCCATTTGGCTAAATAAATTTCTAGCATTATAGCTGATGTCAGTTCGTGATGAAAACCACACATATAATTCCTAAGGAAAATTACGACAATTATTGCGAACTGGATAATAAAAGCACCAGTAACACTGGCTTCAGCCGGGTTCTACAATATATACGGATGATTAGAGAGCGTACAGACTCCTACATAGACTTGGTTGTGTGCATCGTGTCGTTATCCATAAGTAGCATTTTGTGCACTCAACAGCCGGAGTGCACATAAACAATAATGAAGCTATGTGGTCGAAGCTGAAAGAGTTTTTGAGACTTTATCATGGCCCCAGAGGCCGACTATTCTGTAGACCCATGGATGGTTTCCTCTACTGCATGAATTACGATTTTAGGACCTCTGAACCTCTTTTTAACCTTGACAAGTTTTTGAACCACGGTATAAGAAGTGTATCCACTTTATTTCTTTGGTTTTGTATAACATATTTTTACTCTATACTGACTGTTTGCTGATTGGCGAATATTTCTCAAGGTCACTTAAGATTCGTTCAAGGGTCGTCCATAAATTAGTGTCTCGCCGAATAAAACATCATACGAGAAAACAAAACAAATACTACACTGAATGATCATCACATTGAATCAGAACGAAAGTAATGTTGAACAAAACTGATTAATAAATCAATCAAAAATTGACTTTTCTTCCCGTCATATTAATAATCTCGTAGTAAAATCTGAGAACCATACAGTAAATTCCTCATTTGCGAGATATCAATCAATTGTCTCAAACTTGACTGTTCCTTCCACTTCCACACCAATCGTTCTTTGTTATCGTTCTCTTCTCTTCGATTTTCTTAACTTTCTGCCATCAGTCATCTCATTTTCGATTGATGATACATGCTACATATATCTGTCGTTATCAGTAGCACACACCATATTATGACTACAAAAGCTCAATAAAAATTATTTCATTTCTGTAATGCTTAATTACATCTTAGTTAAGTTGAAACAATTACTAATTTCAGCCAAAAAAAACTGCTTTTTCGACTATTCTAAAGACTGTACGAATGTGTTGGTATCAAATAATCATAATGATTTTTTAATTTGAAAAATATGATGAATGCTATCTACCGCCCCGATTCATTTTATGAAAAGAAGTGAAATCTAAAATTTTGTTTAGAAAGGTTTTGGGTACATGTAAAGCTAGTGATTTTGTGAAGAGATCTATTTCTAAAAGATATAATCGACGGATAATTTATGCTAGTAACTCTGTCCCTATGAACAGTTAAAGAATCAAGATCTATTCATTTACTTCACGAATCTTAAAACTCTATTGGTATGAGAGTATAAAACAGTAACCTCCGTCGCTTATAGTTAGTAATATGAATAATGGTTATACTCTACGTTTTATCGACAGAAATATTAAGCAAATTAGTTGTTCAGACAATAGAGTACCAGTGTAGTAAATGCATAATTGTACGAAATTTAAATCTGATACTTTGGGGTAAGTTCTTAAGAATCGTTGATGAAAACACATTCGAAGTATTCTAAATTAGTGCACATCTGTGTGAAGAAAAAAACTAACGACTGGCAAAGTCAACATGTATATACATCCTCAATTGCCAATGTAAAGCTGAAAACACAGATCGTTTGGCAAGAAACATTTCTGCACTCAGCAAGACTCAGTAAAATCATAAATTTCAACTTTTTTAAATACAGTATAAAGTAACCGTATATCATAGGACTGATCATGTGATACGTTTTATAAGATCAAACCTACCCTAACGTAAGGCATAAGCATACATAGCTTATACATTGCATAACTGCTGGCTATACGCGATCTAAAACCAAATATATGTATACAAAAACAGTTTATACAATCTATTTGTTTACAATGACCTTAATGAAATTAAAATTTCACTACTTCTCTTTCCATTATTCCTGGGTTTTTTTATAATTGTTCATCCTTGAGATTAACATATTCCTTACATTATAATTAAACATTACCAACTTGAATTCTGTTACAACTATTCTTATTTGAGATTGTCTGTAATTCTTTTACAGCGAAAAAAAGTCACATTATGATCTGTCAATATGCAGTTGTATATTTGACCTTTGAATGAAACGGATGAAGAATTTAGTTGTTTATCTAGGTAACCACTTAGATAAACTAGATCGAAAACTGGTTCTCATTTACTTGCCTGTTATTGATTGATTAATCCAGAACACTTATTTCAGTATTTATGATTGGAATCAAATAAATAATCTTATGATTATAAGTACATATCGATTTCTATAGTAGAATAAAATGTCTTATTATTTAGTAAGGAAAACACTTACTGAAGTCTGATTCAAAGTAGCAGTAATATTTGTATTCCTGAATTCACCTCTCTTTTTTTTATGTATACTCGTCAAATTCAGAAAGACTATGTCGATCTCTCGTTTTTCCTATTGATCAGTTTTTCTTATATTATTCAAGATTCATCAGAGATTAGTAAGATGAAATGATTTTGAATGTTGATTAGTACAAAGATCGATTTATTGCTAGGTGAATAGAATTATTCTGTCACTTTAATTAAACGCTTATATAACCTAAATAAACTTTATTTACAAATTATTTATGATAATTACGTTCATTTTCTTTTTAAAACGGTCTCATTTTTCTTAAAAACTTAGATGCTATAGTTTTCTTTGATATGACTTTTCTCTTCACTGCTTTATAGTTTCCTTTTCGTAAGTAATTTATATCATTTAAAGAATATTACTTATTTTACAATCAAGTAACTATTCATATGATCCTTTTCTATGATACTGAAATCTTATTTTTACTTTCAACTAAATGATTGTGGTAAAAGAAGTTTTTCGCATTAAATTCTCATATTTCATTATACTACTTAGTAATAAAAGTAGTTGTTAACACAAACCCATCAACTAGTTTCATGATTAACCTTGCAGAGAGAACAAATCATGATAATGTGTCACAAATGTTAAGGTTAGGCTTATTTAAATAAAATTTTCAAACCTGTCTTCCATAAATTTACTTGCATTATCCATATAGAAAGGAAATATATTAACCAGTACAAGTGTTAAGTGTTCAATTTTCACACAAAGAAGAGGAATTTCCCTGATTAATGATGTATACATCAGTGTTTTCTTTGTAGCCAACTATAAGTATCAAATCTGTTTTAAAGTGATCATCGATGTGAAATTATGGTCTATTGTTCAATAAAATTATAATTTAAAGCCGGTGAATCAAATTTAGAAAGTACACAATACTTACTCGTAATATCATCAAGCTGTTCTGAGTAGGCTTTACGTGTAACATCTAATACCACGCTTAATCCTTCCTAAATTAAATAAAATTAATTATAATTGAAATTTATGATATATCAAGAGAATTATGTTAAATACCTTGATTGCAAAACATTTCTGTGTTCTCATAGCTAGCATCCCTTTTGACATTCGTACATCTTTATGTAGTACAGTGCACAAAATTTGTAAAACATGTTCATATTCCGAATCATGTAAAAGCTACAAAAAATATAAATTACATTACGCTTAAATTTCAAGAGCTTGACATAGAGCTTTATATTAGGGTTCTATATAATAAATTACTAACATATATAACACAAATATAACAGAATGATATCGAACTGATAATGATTTTCGGTGAAACAGTTTTAGATATCTATATAAACCAGTGAAATCCATCCAGTCATATATCAGAGCAACCTCAGAAGTGACACAGAAAAATTTAACAATGACACTGTAGTTCAAAACTTTAACACCGAAGTTATTAGTATAATTAGTATCTAGCTATCAGTGGAATCGAAAACGTGCATTTTATCCTAGTCAGGACTCTTCAGATGACTATGCCTGGAATCAAGTGTTGATGCTTAAATTGAAAATCAAAACCAGTGCCTTTGGCTTTCAAAGAAAACCATGTTATTCGCCGATCTACTGAGTTCAGATAATTGCTAGCTTTTCCAGTACCAAATATACCAAAAACTTGTAATATGAAGCTATATCGAGACAGTCCACCAAGAATAAACACAAGGAAACAAAGACTGATCAACTATGGTCCTGAATATTAACAACAAGTAAATTTTTAGCTCAATGGGTGCTTTCGTTATTACGTAGTTTAATTATGGAGCCTTTATTATCGTTCTAGATGGCATAGTTACTTCTTGGTTCATATACAAGTGATCTACATCCTTGTGTATGCAAGATATCAAGAAAAAAGAGTATACAAAACCAACCAACCAAAAACAAGGCCATTAGAACAAACTAATCTAACACTTGTAGAACAACTGAGAAGGTCACTTCTACATAAAGTAAGCACTGGGTATATATCCAGAATGACACTGAAAGTTCCTCAGTTAAATCATCTATATCAGATAACTTAAAAATACCAAAAATTCACATATTTTTCATTCTGATACTTGGAATCTATACTGTTATTTTGGAGGAACAAAAGAAATTATTTTCTCAATATGCTTTTAGTTAAATAAAACAAACATTATTCCTTTGTAAATAGGATGTATTTCAGCAAAAAGATTTGAATATTCTATGAACTTATACCTAATATATTCATTGGGTACAACCGATTTTTTTCCATTTTAATAAATTTATTTTCAAAAGATTATTACTGAGTTTCAGAAGCTAAATTCATTTAAAACACTATTTAATATTTCTTTTCTTTTTCTCACAGTTCACCTACAGAGGTAGGTTTACTTACAATATAGGAACTCTACACTTTAATTACTCGTATTTAGTAGTTATTAAGTAAAGAATTGAAAAATGAATATCTCAAATTTTATGACAGATACAACTGTAATATTAAATTGTATGGTGTTACCTTACTTCTATGATCGTAACAATTAGTAGATTTTTGATATAATAAAGCAATCAGTAATCGACAAATGATAAACATATTTGACTTAAATAACTGATAGGATTAATTTCTCAAGGGATATATATATGGTTCAGTTTAACTAAATAAGCATTCTTTATCATCGTATCTCTCCTCGAGTAATCAGGCTCGTGTATAAAAGGAGTGTGTATCAGTCTCAAATCTCAGAAAACACACGTTAGAACACGTTCTTCATACAAAACTTTTAATATGCTTTCAATTAAAAATATAAATATCAATCCCTATTACCAACTAACATAATGCAGTTATTTGAAAGAATAATATTTTAGACTTCTATTTATATTAAATAACTAGTTTCGAATTAAGATTACCTCTTTATATGTTCTCAACAATGTAGATTTGACATCACCCATAGCATTATACAATAATTTGACAAGATCTAACATATATTTAATTGCAATAACTTTTGTAATTCGAGATTCAGCTGCTTGAATGTTTACTGCTTTCTTTAAATAGATCATATCACTTTTAGGTAGACAATGCTTCTCGGAACTGGGTACTATTAGTGATGATGATGATCCAGGTAGTAAAGTTGAAGATTTTGTAGGCCTGTCAAATAGCAAACCTGTTGATTTTTCTTTCACTGTACTAATTAAAGGTGAATGAGTAATGCTATCTTGTGTACACAATTCAGTTGAATTGATTAAAAGTTCATTCGATTTATTTGATCTAAATGAATCTGTTTTGTTATTGAATTCAATTGGATTCGATGCATTCTGTTTATTAATATTAGTATGACTTTTGTTATTGATAGTGTTATGCCAGTCAAACATTAAATTTGATGACGAACATATTTGAACACAAAGTGATAAAAGACTATCAATATGAGGGAATTGACGTAAGATATTCTGAACAGTGTAAAAAAATGTCGGATTTATGTTCTGTTTTCTTTTTGTAGTTAAACGGAATAGTAACACAATCAAAAATTCAACTGAATATACTTCATACCTGTATGTTAAATAAAGTTTCTGGTGAAGATATTAGTTCACGAACAGAAGCTTGTCGATTCAAAATTGTTTCCAAGTCTGTAGAGAAAACGTTTAGTTAAATAAACATTTGTACAATCAGTGGAGTTACATAATTTTCTTAATAAATTCCGACAGAATAAGAGAAATGAGTTGAGTAAATAACATGAATTCGCTTACGACATACAACATTTAAATACCAAATCTATTCTCATGATAATTAAATCGCTAGTCAACATAACTAATTACTAACATAGTTTAGTAAAGATTGTAGAAATCCAAATGAAATGAGGATGTAAAATAATTCTTAAATTAATATCATGCTGAAGTTCCATTTCTTGACAATAGACTAAGGTGGCCACAAACGAGTTTGGGAATTGAGATAACTAGTTACATATTTAAGTTAATGGAAAGATAGGTTGATAGCAACTACGATATAAAGTATACAATGTGTAATATGTTAAGTTCAGTTAATTAAAATCATAAGTTTTAACTAGAATCTTGCATAGGAATGATCTAACCTAATAAGAGCAAAAGTTGTGTTTCTAAAGTAATGACAAACTGTGAAGCATTATTTTTTAAATTCATAAGTCAGATTTTACCAGTTTGATAGCTATGATCTCAGAAAGTTTAAGAAAACTTTAGCATGTTTATCAGCAATTCATTTGAAAGTACTTATAGACATGTACCTGTAGCATTGTACCAACCAGATGTCTACCAATCACATTATGGGACGGTTTTATTTCTCAAAAACACTGACCTTAAAGAACCCGTTTAAAAAATCTGAGACAGATCATTCCCACTCTTTTGACAGCATAATTTATTTGACACACTCGTAAAATGATATAAAAGTTGGCAGTGGCCTAAATAGAATACCTAAGGATGTTTGAATCCATTAATCAATTTATTAGTATGTAATATGGGATTAATTTGATTACATAACAGTGTGGAACCAGTGGATAGCTCAGTTTTTTGTTGACTTTATTCAATATCACAGTCTTGAAAAACTGAGATGAATAAAAATTGGCTTCCCGTTGACTAATGCCCGAACGTTCTACATCATTCTATGTTTATAAATCGATCAATGCAGATAGTTGATTTTTGATCAGTACATAGCAATAGTCAAACTTATCAATAGGAAATATATTTTGCATATTGTGAAATCGAGTTTTAAACAGTGGGTACTTGTTGTTGACTGTCAGTGTACGCTATTAAATTTAGCGTTTAGTTTGTTCCACAAAAGATAAACGATTTACGTTACATGGTTTAATAGGGTAAATTTGACTATTCATCATTTCCAAGTTTTTTTTTAGAAAACTATAATTTTAAGTGTGTGTTTGTGGTGTTTGAATGAACTAATGATTCCTTTGTACTTGTTGAATGCTTGGTTTCGAACTCCAAATACAGTATATTCGTTTGTGCTTGTCTAGTATTTCTTGATCCAATTGAATTGTATTTGGGATTCCTAGTTTTTACTATAATTCAAATACTTCTAATTATCATAGTTTTGTTGAAAAGTTCCAATAAAAACACTATATTTTGCAGATGATTATAATTGATGAATATGTTGTTAACAAACACAGAGGATGTGACTTCGTCTAAATTTGTTTAATTTTAATATTTCCAAGAATGGCCATAAAGATGTTCTCTACGACTGGAACTGGTAAATTTTTCATCAGTACTCCTTCAGTTAAACGATATTACAGTCAAATTTAGTATGAATATTATTGGAATCCATAAATAGATATTCACTTTTAATAGTTACTTTAATCTTACTAGAGACATACCACATGGGGGTTCCAACAAGTTGGCTCGTAATAATCGAGCACCACTAGCTGTACTGGTGAAATCTATTGCTGAATAAAGTGTATCTTTGGCTGAATAGTCGTAATTATTTCTAACCAAACGTAAACGATTTGCACTTTTGTAGTCTAACAGTAAGTTGATTAGAAATAAAAATAGCAACAGAAAAGAAATAATGATCAATCTTTCAGAAGCTCATTGACTCACTAGATTTCTACAACAAAGTTTATATATATATATATATATATATATATATATATATATAGTGAGTAATTCAAAGCGCCAGTTTAACATGTTATATCTCAAAGTGAATATTTACGTCGTTATTAGAACATCCATTCTGTAAAATAGTTATTTAAAAGTATATATCGGATAATCTAAAATGAGATCTTGATTAAATCATCATTTACTTTTCCGATATTTGGATGTTTTGTCTTTATGAACCTATCTTTTGTATCCTGAAAAGTATAACAAAATAAAAAAGGTGGAAACTGTGCAATTCAACGACCTTCACAAGCCTTCTGTACTAATAGTTATCACAGAATATTTAGTGTCTAATTTCGAGAGAAAATTACCAAAGTTCTAGTGAAAAAACTGCAACCAATGGAGTTCAACCCTGCAAAAAGTGAGGTGGATACCCACCGACGGTATTTGAAAGTTGTTAAGCAATATTGCGGATTGAATGAAGCTAGAAATGTAAACCACTGGATACTAACTCAATGGTCTAAGAGATCATCAACAGCCCTAAATGTCTTTAATCCAATCTTTCATTGGGTCGCAGATCCATATTACTGATGAACCTTATACTTTCAAGAAGCCCACTGACTTTGTTGTGTATTCGATAATGAAAAACCAGGTATTTTTGTGCCAATAAATAAGTGTTCACAACTAGTAAATACTAAATCTTTTCGATCCCATAAACAGCTACGTTTATAAAACACAATAGTTTCGGTTCTCGTCTTGTTATTTTCATTGTCTTCTTTTAAGTACCGTGGTATATTAATGAATCATACACTGTTGTGACCGGCGGTGTCCAAAATCTGATATTGATACATGTTGTGCTACGCGCTAGTGCACTAAATGACTACTTGAGCGAGAAAGTTTATTAGGCTACTGAATAAAATGCACGAATACTCATTCATATGTATACCACTATAATCCTTAGGAAATTCAACCATTTCTTATCCAATGAAATTCAATTGTCCTTTAGGCCATTACTGATTACCGTCGATTGGCCTTATCATTAGGCTACTTCTAATTGGCTCTCCATATCATACACAATAATTTTAGTCGATATTCCTCAAATGAAAATTATCAGTTTGTCAAATCTGTACTAAGCCAATAACTAGCATATGGCTATGTCCATGGATATCTCATACATAAGTTTTGGTATTCAGTTTCGTGAAACTGAGAACAAGAAAGCTTACTAAAATGATTAAAACGTGCTCACAAAATCCATATATCTTATTTCTTTATACATAAGGTGAATGTAGGTTGTATCACCTCGATAAATGCATTGCTAGATAATTATTTTATTGTATCAAATCAATTGAAAAATTGGATAGTTCTACTTACCAATCATAGTAGATTTAACAGATCCTGTAAATGAGAATTTCATTGATTTTGGAGCATAAATAAGTCCATGAATTTCTTCAGCATAATTAAGTAAAGCAGACAGTGCTGAAAGAGCATAAAATCTAAATAAAAACAGAAATTATAGGCAATGAGTATGTTCTATACTTCTGTTACTTAGCAACAATCTTCGGAAGCAAAATTATATATATATATATATATGTATATTGAAATCTCAAACCGATTTAAGTTAGACAACCATTGAAAACCTGGGTGAAACTGGATGACCATTTCATCACAGGATGGAACTCCTCAACACTAAGTATCCATGACCCAACAACTTGGGACCGAATCCAGGACGGTCTGCTACTTGGATTAACGTTTATTCATTAGGCCACTGAAATGGCATTTAATGGTACATATGGATGAATCTTAATGTTTTAAAAAGAGCAACACCACACAATCCAAAGTGAATATACATTCTCTCTTTATTCAACAGACTTATCAGACAATAGTTTCTACTGAATAAATTCGAATCATTAGTTATGTGCAGATTTATGAACTAATGTGTAGTTCAAAAACTTCCATTATCCTAAATATCAGTACTACCAAACCGTTTAAAATGAAATATACCAAATAAGTTCCGGCTCCTTGACTGAAAAGTTGAACACAGTGGGACTATTTCCATGAATACAACCGTCATAATTGTACAAATTACTTAGAATAATACCTCCATTTATTTATATTAAGTTATTACAACATGAGGCGTGTGTATAGTGTTAACTGAACAGCTTTTGTCTGTCTATCTGAATACTTCTAATATTTGTATGAAGCACATAGGTCATAGCAAATTCACTTTCTGGAAACTAGAAAGACGGTTAGACAAAAAGGTGTAAAACTGTAGTCACTTTTATTTAACTGAGTGTTATTTTGAAATAACATGAATAAAGAAATGATCAGAAAAAAGCGACGCCTGAAAACTTAGAAATTATAAAGTGTGTCACAGTGAATTCTACTTTGTGGAATGCTTTTTATAATTTAATTTGATAGATTGATTGTTTATTTAAAATATTTTTCAGTTTGTAAAGCACCATTTTTAGTAATTGAAATAAATGCTTTAATTGCTGACATTACTGTTTCGCTTCATAAGTCACTTTATTTACATGAAGAACACAAGCATTTCTCTATCATCTTAATACTCAGTCTGAAAGTAAGGCAGAAAAATTGGTGAAGTCTTCATTGAATATCTGATTCATTTCTCTGGATAATGTTTGTCTACTTGTAGTGAATTATATGTGGGGAATTTTATGTTAAGAACCACAAAGGTAAAAGTTTTTAGGGTTGCTAATGTTAGATGGGTGGGATTGATTCCTAAATCTTCATTTTTACAAGTATCCACTAGACGTTCGCCTAAAGTTCACAAATCAAATCAACGTATTGACTCCATAGGATACTTATAAACATGAATGGCTTTATTAAGAGAGTAAGATGCCCTCTATTCCTGTTTTCTATGTTTGATACTTTTCATTGTTAGCATCTCAGCTATACTGGTGGAAATGCATGTTATATGAATACTTGTAGTATACAAGTCATAAAATATGTATTTCGAACATGCACGTAAGCATAAATATTATAGATTGAAATGTATTTCCTCAAGTGTACACTACATGTATACCGACAATCCACAGATCGAATTGACCTATGCATCTTATATCATACACATAGGTATACGTCCATGTGTGTATCCGATACGAGTATTAACAGTGTTAATCCGATGTTACTATAGAGTGATGGATTAGGTTAATTTCCACTGACCGCTTATGTCAGTTTATGAGATAAGTCCCACTACCCAATGGCCAATACTCGGAAATGTGAACCAGATTTCACCTCTTCTTTACGCTTAGAGTTAGACTGAAAATCAAAATTTCGGCATACTTTGATCGAGTTTGTGACAAAAAGCTAACAAAACTAGCTTGACCATATACGAGACAACCATTAGAGAGAAGTTTAATTGTAAGAGAACGATGAGACTAATATTTCTCTAATAGTCACTGAAAATTAACTACTTGTTTACCTACACTGAAGTCTAATTTAGGTATACTCATGCATCTAAATAAACTTGATTAGTTTTGTAAAACAATTACGATTAATAGGATACTCCTCTCTAACCTTTGATGTAAATTTAACCCTTTGATTTCAGTTATCATCATCAGCATCCTCAAGGTTTTGAAAGAGGAACCATTTCAAAAGGATTAGATGGAATGTAGGTACGAAGATAATATATTCAACATGTTATTTTATTTAGGTCATATTTCACTGAATATGACCTTTTGTGCTTCCATCTAAGCGGGATGAACTGAGTTTGTTTGTATTCATTAACTGTTACGTCACCATTACTAATCAAATGAACTATATTCGGCAAATAATGAAAAATTATTACCATAATATAACCAGATTAAACGAAAAAACTCGATAAGATCTGAAAAACCGCTTACTTACTTCTCTTTAATAGCGTATATAGATGGAATGTAATGTGGATGGCATAATCTTCTTAAATAGTGTAAACCTATCGATAACAATGATGGCAAATTTATTCAATAATCCTAACCATGGTTTGAAGAAAATCACACAGTTTTGATTGAATTAGTTTATTCAGCAATTTAATTGTGACTATGTATTTCTTATAACAAGCTAAGTTTTTGTATTATCAAATGAATAGTGTGCCAGCCAGGACGCCACCTGACGACTCAAACATTTAAAGTTAACAAAATATATAGCCCTTGGTACAATCATTTTTATCCAGCATTATTTTTACGAGAAAATGATACATTATACATTAGTTTCTAGAAGTAGCACAGCTATAAGAGGTCATATTATTCATGTAAGAATTATAAATCAAGGAAAACATGAGTAAAATATTCGATGTGGTAGTGTATTGAACGCTACTCACAAAATGTTTTGTAAGCAAGGTATGGCGGAACGTGGCGTCGAAGTCGCAACAATTGACAGACAGAGTGATGAGTCTCAGTGAATAGAAAACACGGTGTTAGCAAAATACTTTGGGACCAGTCAAGAAGACAGTTCAGATTCCAGAACACGCTAGAAGGTGCTAAAGGATGATTAAATGTTGTGTATATGTATTATGTAAATACTTTGTAATTCGAAGTTAAGGTACATACCCTCTGACTATTTTTGTGGATTACAATACTATTATTATTATTATTAGTTGCACTGGTATTATGTTCAAGTAACCAACTATCTATTCAACCAGACAGATAGCCAACTTAATCAAAAATGCATATAAATAATTTTTTCAGAGTCATCTCAATAATTACTTATATAAGTAAAAGAGAATGATACACTTTCTTTTCAAATAATTATTTAGTATTATGTAAAGCTGATACATGTACTTGATTCCCGTATTAAGTTATTATACAAAGGTAATAAGTTAACTTTACGATGTAAGTGAATTGTTAGTATGTCAGTTTTGTCTAAAACTGTATAATTATTCAGCAACATAATATTTCTTACTTCAAAATATCCCAGTCTCCGAGGATATTGCGAGCCAGGCCTTCTTGCACGACTCAAGAGATAAAAGAAACAAGCATGGATAGTGATCCAAAGAAAGGGTGAGCCAAATGCATTTTAGATCCGTTATTGAATGTCTTTCTGCTTTTACATTAGTTACTGTTATACGTTGATCTTGGAATTATTATTTCCTGTCTATCTTATTTTCAGCTAGCTTTGTGCTCATTGATCTAAGTGTAAGTTTCTACTTCAGCAAACATTTTTGTACTATCACTTCGTACATAATACACATTTCATATTGCATTATAGATTCACAAGTCAAATGATTGCTATTACATTAAGCATTCATTTGTCTGCTATTAACACTTTAGCTGTTTTGGTATCACGTTAATTACACAGAAGAGTAACGTTTCTTTTCTTTTTGTAAAACACTGTTAACGAAAGTCAAACTTCCATGTGATAAACACAACAAAAGGCCAATTACAATCGCAAATAATATGAAGACGTAGATTCTTAGCGGAAAATTTATATGTGCTTTTTTAATTTTAATATAACGCATCAGTCTTCTAACTACGGTAATGCTTATCGGTTGAGTTCGTTAACACAAAGGCTAGTAAGATAGGACTACGTCGATATGGTAAATATACTATGATTGCGTTCTGACACTATATTATCATCTAGTAAGTGTTCACTTACTTCCACGGAAAATGTTTACACAACCTAGGTGTGTGTGCGACAACAGACATGTTAATGTTGACAACTATGGCGTAAATGTTTTAAGATTGCGTTAAATTTGCGAAACTGACTGAAGAAAGAGAAATATGGATATATGCATAGGGAATTCTAGCTAATTTCCACTAAGTCCGTATGCTTTCCAGAAAAAAGGAAAATTTTGAAGTTTCTCTGAACAAGGTAAATAGACTTTTCCAAATTTTCGAAAAATATTAGGTGGATTTCCCCAAAGATGCGCTAAAGTTTTGGGGTTTTGTCAAAGAACTAAATGGATATTTTCAAAGATTTAGAAAATTCTGTTATCCCCAAAAGTTCTGGGGATTTCTCTAAAATAACTTGGAATTTTAAGGAAAAACCCCAGACCAGGGGAAATTTCAGGGCTTTTTCGCATTTCCCCGAAATTTCCCCAAAATCGAGCGACCGGCATATCACTAGTTTTATTATCATTCAAGGAATCACTTCCCTAAATATCTCAAAAGTTATCTAGTAACACAGTTCCCTGTCAAATGACTAAAATGTGATAAACTGTAAAATAGATTGACAATCCTTTTGAGAATAATTCAAAAATTGTGATATTATGTCAACTTATAGTAAATAAATTTGTTGATTGATAGTCTTCTCAATTACCTTGTTTATCATTGAAGTGATTTCTGTTAACACCATTTAATGTCATACCATTGCGTAAAGACAGTAGGATTTTCACAAGTTTCCGCATACAACTATTTGGATCCAAACCAGATTTAGGAAGAATTATCTGAACAAAGTAATGTTATATTTGTTGATCATGTAACATATTGATTATAATAAATGAAGAAAATTGTACGCTAAGGGATATTACATGAAAATCTTTGATCATAACATATGTTAATTATATGACACATTAGATACTGATACCTTCTAGTCATAATTTCAGATAGAGATGTCCCAATTCATTCTGTTAAGCTTTGTAAACAGTAAGTATCTTTATAAGAATTGTACATTTTTCTTTCATATACAAGTCAATCGAGTGGAGAAAGAAGGAACAAAACAGAAATTATGCGGATAATTTTCTGTAAAATTAAATACCTGAACCACATTTAACATCTAGTGAAGATCAAATTCCATTTTCCAGCAATATTTATGTTGAAAAATGGTCAATTCATTCATGATGTCGTGAAAATTGTGCTCTTAATTTCCTGAACCATAAATAAATGCTATTCGAAAATAAACTTATAAAAGTCTGATCCCATTCAAATTCATTTTAAGATCTGACCTTACCAACAGTTATAATAATTCACCTTCATTTTGTTCTTGTGAGTCTACATCGAAAATAATTCTTATAATCTAGCTTCATCGGTATTTGATCAAAAAATGGAGCCAAATCACAATTACTAAATATTCCATTCATCAGTGCGACTAAAAAATTCATTCCCTATGCAGCTATGAACTGACATTTTGTACCGATTATTTTGCGTTTACAGTTTACTTTACAGAATTGCTGAAGTAGAATAACCGTTGTAAGCCAAAGGGTATTTAACAACTGTCTTGTCCTAGTATGGGCCTCCTGAGTAGTAATAATTTATGACCCCGCCAAGGGCTGGAACCATGTCTCTTAAGTCTCGAGGTTAACATTTAAACTTCAGGCAAGTGAGTTAACAGCCAGTGGCTTGCACTTTTAACTTCAGCCAGTTCACAGTATTGTGTGATCATGCTTCGTTGCCAATGGTGATATTAGTATCATATCGGATATGGTTGAACTCCAATGGTCACGGTTTTTCATTAAAACTTCAGTAATTACCCTTCAACATTGGTCACTAGTGAGCAAATGATTAGTGTTAGCCTGACGAAGTTGTGAAGATGGTTGCATTTTTAACATACATAATGGACTAACTATAGTTTTACTTTGATTCTAGCTTCAATCGGCTCATGAATTCCACAGTTAAATTACTACAATCTCTACAAACTCCCATTCTGACTCTAATCACTTTAAATAATCCATAGATTCCCATGGATCTTAACATTTTATATACACTATATTTATAAGCTGTAGTGCGATGAAGATACCATGATTCTTTTATTAACCCTGTTCAACTGAATTTAAGTCTAATCGGACAAGGCGAGGAAAATAAAAATATTTGAACCTGAATGTTTATTTTTTAGTGGATTACATTGTATGTATTTAGTAAGTATTAATCATATGGTTATTTGAGGATATTTTTATGTAACACAAACTGGATGCCCTTTTATTAACTTTAGCCATTTATTAATTGAAAGTGTTAAGATTTTCAAAAAGATTATCGAAGTGAAAAAAACACCGTACAAACTCACTTCTGTAGGACAATATAAAAGTAGTTTTACAAGTGTTCGACTATAACTGCTAGTATCACGAAATTGTGATAATTCAACATTTGCTGAGTAAATATCGATAGTAGCTAAACCTATTTCTCCAGTTGATTGACCTCTTCCTTCAACTATACCTTCATAGGAAAAAATTTCAAAGAATATTTATCAAATTTAACTGGAGCAAATACAATCTCACTGAGGTTGTAGGAAACTCTAGAATCAAATATAAAACAAGATGTTACTCAAATATATTGTGTAAAAGGTATTGCATGTTAAACATCTAAAATACTTCACTTACAACCATTTTAATTTAATTGAAATAAAGTAAATTATTTGTAGTCAATCAGATATTAACTAACTGTCATAATAAGTAAAACGTTTATAATTTTCAAAAGTTGTCGTACAAGTAAGCGAAATCTCAAAGTTGTTCTTTCTCAACTGTTTTGACTTTTATGAAGAGGATTACAATAACTACATTTGTAAAGCAATTAGTTTGTTTGATAAATATTGATAGTGTAATAAGAAGATAAAGATTATCAGAACTATGTGATGATATATTAGCGTAAGACATTTGGAAGAATCTGATCGCACATGTACTTGTTAATAACATTTATACATAAAAATAAAAGGTCAACTAGACTAGAAATGAAAGGTAAGAGGAGACAAGGATAATAAAGAAAATAATAATGTGAAAACAATTTGAAACCTCATCACTTTGGATAATAAGCTAATATTATTAAGTATATGTGTGATCAAACTGTTCGAAATGTATTGCGCCAATATAATGCATAGTTTTGATAATCTTTGTCTTCTTATTACACTATCGAAACTACATTTGTTTTACTTTTTTCAAATTCCCTTTACGGTTTACGATAAAGATTCATGAAAAATAATTGAAATGCAAAAATACTGTTTCATAACTAGAAATAACCTAAGGAAAAGTCTTTTCTCAGTTTATGCAGTCATTTATAATCATATTATTTACACATGATCAGAATTAAAGCTGCTTAAGTATTTATGTCTTGTCCTCAAGATTATAATTAGCACACAGAAAACATATAAAATACATTAATATTTTAGTAAGATATGTTTATAAATAAGCCATTGAAATTTCCTCGACTAGTTATTCAGTAAGTTAACGATTATTACACAAATTATAGAAAACATCTACAAATGGTGGGCTAGCTCCAATTAACTCATGATCTCAACTATTGGAATTACTACAATCTCCACAAAACCCATTCCGATACAAATCAAATTAAGTTCAATCTATGTCTTGGACTATCCCCAAATCCGTATAATCTGTAAATACAGAAAATTGGAAATAAATAACGAGCACATTACTAAAATTTAAACCTGTGTATTTTCTTTTATCAAGTAAATACAAACTCGTTAAAAATATAACTTTAATTCAGTGATCAATATAGAATAGCAGATTAAATAAATGCACAAAACAACAATAGAACATCGTAATTGAACATGTCTCAACTGACATATGAGTAATTAAAATGTGAAAATAATAATACTAAAACTCTTAGTCCTAACTAGGAATAATTTGGAGACACTTGTAAATCTGTTCGGGTTCTTTTAAGTGTTAAAGAATATATACGAACTATCTCCACTAGCATGAGTTTATATGTCGTTATTTTTCAATTTTTAGGAGGAGAGATCTGTAGAAAAAATTAATAAACACTCATTAACTGTTTAAAATCTGTTCATTTTTTGCAGTATTATTTTCTATAAACCACTCATTTGCAAAGGCGTTTCCTGATTGGCTGAGAGCCGGCTGAAAATTAGTCAGTTATTTTAAGCTCATCCTCCTACCACACTGGTACTATGATATTAGATTAAGAGCCGTGATTTGGTTGCTTTATTTATTTAAAACCATTCAAACTTAGATAGATTGATCGGGTATGTCGTACTGTAACCATAAGCTCGAGTCCATTGTCTTTCGAACAATATAAAAAGCAATCAAAAATGTTTGATACAAGATAGTTGATTTAAGTTTTCACATTTACATAGAATGATGCATGGGTAATCCATTATGATATCTCATTGAAAAATATATTCAAAGCTTGTAATTTTTATCGCCCGATAATTATCTCCAACGCACCATGAATAATAACTCTGAGAAGAAAACAGAAGTCTGTTAAGCAACCAGGGGATGACATCAGTTCATAGACTGAATCAGAAAGTCTAATGGTAGATACATTGGTGATATGTTAACTTGATAACTATGAAATTAAGATGATAAATAATGAACAAAATAATGTTTAATTAGTTACATCAGTTTCAGAGGAATTGGGATCAAATGCTTCCCGAAATCAGTATAGAATTAAGATGTTTGCTGGATGCAGTAAAAGACTGAGAAAAATTTATCTAATATTTCATGTTCTTAAGATCTTTGATAATTTTACCGGAAAACATATTACTCATTTCGAGGTATTCTTAATCCCAGACAGAAGTGTCACTTTACGTTTAATGCTTGCTTAAAATTGTATATATTGTTAAACAAATATTTGGTATCCAATGTCAAACTAGTTGCTGAAAAAGTACTCTCTTTTGAATGATCTGCCTCTCAAACTATTAAAATGACGGCCCTCTAAAGTCTTAAAAAAGTATCTAAAGTTTACGACAAAGTTATTCTAAGTAAAGATACACTGTCAGTTTTCGCGAAAAGTAGCTTCAGGTAACAATACCAATTAAGGTTATTCATTTAACACGAATTATGACACATCATCACAAACGTTTTCTAACTAATAGAAAACCTACTACCAGAAAATCTATGGCGTCGTATGTTGATACCTTCTGGAAAGACAAGACAAACTTTTAGACCTTCTATAATCCACTACTTATTTGTGTTTGCAAGTGGGTCTGTTTACTGTCAAATAAGTTTCCAGTTAATGAGAAGCCAAATAAAACCCAATACCTCGATTGTTTTGCACAATTTCTGTTCACTGTAAAATATCGGTAGCCCGTAAAAAATTACAAAAGAGCATATCTATTTGTTTAAGAAGAAATTTACCTGATAACTGGCGTCGTTCTATTTGCAGCCAGAATGAGAGCTGCATTAGAATAGAAGTAATATTTATAAAAACTCTGTGTAACTGAAATTAAAATAACTCCAAGTTGAACTCAGTATTCTGGTCCGGGATATTTTGGGGAAATAATCAAATATCTAGATTATAAATTACAACTAGATTCACAAAACAATTATATACTAAACCACTGTTCAATAGATCGGAGTACCAAAAGGAAGACTCAAGTTATTTAACTTCAGTCACTGAAAGTTTTACATACATAATTCACTTTTCTCTGTTTTTCATAAACTCAGAGACTAGTTGTTGCAAACCGATTTTTTCAAATTTGGAAAAAGCATTTAAAATATAGGGTAAAGATAATCGGTAGAAGTATCAATAAAATGTCAATATACGAACCAAAAAGTTTATAAAGTTAGTTTGAACAATTTGACCATAATTAGTGCAATTTAATATCCATTTTTCTGAACGTTGACGAATAAATTTTTATATCAGTTTCAAAATCACAGGAGTGTATCACTAATTAAAGGTATAAAAGTTAAACATTGGGCTACTGGCTAGCACCAGATTCAAGAGAACTGTAGTATATCATGTTGATATTTTGAGAAAAGTGAGATTTATAATAATTGCTCTGACACTCAAAAACTACCTCTTAGTATATAAAATTTATTCATTTTAGTCCAAGTCGAGAGCTCAGTAAAGCTCGCAACTGCAGAAAATTAATCAAGTTACTCATTTCATACAACGTTAACACTTATATGAAAGAAACGCGAATCATTATCCCGTAATACTAGTCTATTTAAGATGAGAGGCATAAATATCTAACTCATTTTTGGCTGACAAACAATTCGTATACACTATTACTTACTAAGCAAAACATGAGATTTTAATTTACTTGCACTTGTCAAGTTAGATGACCTGATACTGGATGAATTTAAAGCAGCCTGGGGATTCTGTTTGATGCGATTTCCAGGGACATCATTACTGGTAACTGGACATGAATGGGTAGAATTTAGTGGATGTTGTTGCTTTTTCCATTTGTACTTTTCAAATATTTTAGAGTAATGTTCAGAATACATCATATCTGTCAAAAAGACAAAAAAGACTTTTTCAATCTTCGATGGTATTCAGCGATGAGAGTTTAACATTCAGAACCCTCAGTTCATGGTTCTGTTATAACAAAAAGAACAATCGCTAGTTTGCTATTAAACATGTATATCGTTTGTGGAAAGTGATCACTGAAGCTAGACTATCTTAGTATGCTAACACTAGTAAAGAAGGAAAGGCATTTGGGTTAACTGTTAATGTTACCTTAAATTGACCAAAAATACCTTTTTTGATCAATTTTACAAGTAATTCAACAGCTACTTAAATCTAAGGCCTTATATGATGGCTAGTTTTGGTTAAAATAAAATACATACTTTCAACTAACACAAACGAAAGTGTAGCCACACCTTAAATTGGGTTACAGCCAGTGCGTAAACATACTTGATTTCTAAACATGGTTACGCAGCTTATTGGTCCCGATATTTTGAGCTTTATTTCATTTAATCATTTCTTTGAAAATGCTTTACTTAAGTTGTGAATGAGCTATGAGTAACGTCTTGAACTTTGTCAAACATTTTGTCAACAGTGTATTTGTTTCGTTCTACGATACATATATCCTAACTCCAAATTGGAAATTTGTTAAAGATATTGTAAGTTATTGTAAGATTAGAAATGCTTGTAAAGCGTTAATAAGTAAGACTAGACGGTCATATAAAAAACAATTGGTTAGGGATTGTAAATATAGTCCTGATCGGAACTCAGAGAAGCGATAGAATTCCGTCACTTTTGATACAAGAAAATCCGTTAATACTGGCAAGAAATGATACCGAAAAAGTTGAAGCTATATTGAAATATGACGGTAAAGTGTTTTCTATTAGTAATGAGGAACGAACAACGATTTACTGTGGTTATGGAGGCTCGTTGATAGACCCTGCGGTTATTGAGACGTATACTGTATTAAGACTACCTCAGCATCTCAAACCTGATAAGTTCAGTGGTCCTGATGATATTGATCTTATGATTATAAAATCCCTATCAAATGTAATTGCTGGACCTTTGGCGATACTGTTTGATACATCTCTGCGGTAGTCCAAACTGCCCAGAGACTGTAAAGACGCGATAATTAGTCCGGTGTATTAGGCTGTGAGTAGAGATCTAGTTGGTAACTATCGACCCTTCAGCTTAACTAGTGCAGCTGTAAAACTAATGGAAAAAATATTTGTATAGCTGTTATAAACTATATGGAAGGGCATAATCTTTTACCCAGAGAGCAACATGGTTTTCGGAGAGGCCTATCATGTTTGACAAGTCTTCTTATTGCCGGAGAGGATTGGACCATAGCAAAAGATCAAAACATTCGTGTAATGTGATTTTCACAATTGATTGATCACTTGGTGGTGATCAATGTCATGTATGTCAAGTCACCACCAGTTTAGGTGACTCGACATTGCGTGCACTATGTTGAGGTGGGCTGGTGGTTTGAGGTGATCAACAGGAAACCCTGGACCCGGGTTTCATGCTACTTGGCGCTCGTCAGCAAGGTGTACATGTAATCTTGAGGGAACTGGTGCTCCCTAACGGATTCGATCCCGTGTCACCCAGCTTCACAGTCAGAGACGAGTGCCAAGTAGCGCGAAACCCGGGTCCAGGGTTTCCTGTTAACTACCTCCAACCACCATCTAATGTGATTTTCATAGATCTAAGTAAAACCTTTGATATGGTCTCCCATTCTGGCCTTAAATTAAAACTGGAACGCTTCGGAATCCATTATACAGTCATAGACTGGATAAGTGACTTTCTCCATAACAAGAGGCAAAGGGTAAGGGTAAATGTTGCTTTCTCATCGTGAGGACCTATAAAAAGCGGAGTTTCCCAACGCACAATCCTCCACCCTCTTCTTTTTTTACGTTATGTAAATAAATTACCAACTGTATCAAAATCATCCGTTCTACTCTTCATCGAAGACATAAAGATTTAAAGATCCATACACAGTATGTCAGATATATTAGTATTACAGGATGATCTCAGCTCATTGGTGGCATGGATGAACAGGTGGTCATTAGAAGTGAATACTAACAACAGTGTGGTGATGCAATTAAATAACTATTATGATTAGTATCACTACACAATATCTGGAATCGTGTTACCCAAAGTAAGACTATAAAGATTTAGGAGTCATACTATGCAGTGATCTCAAAGCTACGATTCACTGTAAGGTTGCTGCTGCAAAAGGCTATGGGGTGTTATGGTCTATTTGTAGGTCTTTCCACTATTTGGATGATGAAATGTTTAGATTATTATACCCGACTTCCGTGTGACCACATTTGGAATATGGGATCCAAGCAGCGAGTCCTTGTTTCAAGTAGGAGGTGGATATACTGGAGTGAGACCAACAACGAGGGACTGAGGTGGTAAAAGGTCTATCTGGCCTATCTTATGAAGACAGGCTAAGACACCTCAACTTATTTACGTTATCTTACCATAGAATACCAGGTGATCTAATATTGGCTTATTGTATACTGAACGATGACCTTGATATTATTATGTCTTATATTTTCTTTCAGTCTAGGACTAATCATTTGAAAAAACGTTCAAAGAAAGTTCAGAAACTGAGATCAAATCATTTACGTTTGGAGTTTTTTTCTCGCATCGAGTGGCGAATTACTGAAATTCTTTGACAGAACACGTGATATCAGCACCTTCAGTTGATTGAAACTTCACAGTGTTGAAAACTGCAAGGATTAATATACGTCGATAGACCTTCTATCTTTATTACTGAAAACTGAAGACTAATTGATTTCTCACAGAAATCTGTTGGATTATAAACTGACTTGAAATCAACACTCAACAACGAATGATTTAAGGAAATAGACTATACAAGAATGAATATCTCCGAGATACAAAAGTATAGACCTATTGCTTAAAAACGGGAAAAACGGGTGGAAATCAAGGAAATTGATTAACGAAAAGGTGGAGCAATTTATGTGAATAATAAAAAACCAATTAGTCGTACATATCTCCACACACTTGGAGAACCATTTTCACGGAAAAAATGTAATGTTATTGTTGATTTCAAGATATGGACATATGTACATTATAAACAGTGTCAATAACCGCTTAAAAGTCAGTATGCCTATGTGTATCCTGACTAAGTGAAGTGTAAATTGGGCATTGTTTACATACTTCTGGAGGATGTTTATATCCGTGTATCCTATTGATACGAAACATGATCAAGACTCATAGGAGTGACGGGAAATTGATAAATGCAATAAAGATATTTTAGCCAAACTGAGTACGTCAATACATCAATTGACATTCATGAAGAAGACACAATAAAAAATAATCTCTCTTGACTTTGCTCTTCCAAGTTGCTCAATTCCAAACGTCCATTTAGTGCAAAACCGATTCCGTTCAAATCATTTTAACTAGTCTGGCCAAAAATTAGAGCTAAGTATGTAATATATCTGTTCTGGTGTAAAAAAATCACTTAAGTGATGGGAACAATTGTTTCCATTCAACACAGTTCCACGGATACATACGTATATAATCTATGGAATACTTCTACAATGAAATATTAAAAACAATTCTATATTTTTCGGCTCACGTCTCAGTGTATTAGCAAATTCATAACATAATCGATAGTATTCCACCCAGCTTTGAATCATACAAGATCAAAACACGAAAACAAGTAACAATCCTAAAATGTGGGATTTAAATTTCAATGTTCAAAATCTGTATTCAGTATGAATCATGAACTTTCTCAGTAGGTCAATCCAACTGCCAATTCTTTCTAGTTTGTAATCGATATCAACTAAATAGCCTAAACCAATAAGCATTTTTAATTTGTGTTCTAATTTTAGAAAAGTCTAGATAAATTAAATATTGATTAGTAATCGATGGACTGACTGTAAAGGAGCACTGAAAGTTATCTCGCTCATTGGTATCGGTCCTTTGCGTGCCTTCAGAGTGATCTGCTTGGATACATTGCTATAAGTGTGGTCTTACACAAGTGGGGTATAACATTCGGAACATTGCTCGGCGAAGTGACCATAACGCATGAAAAACTTTGACAGCAGCTGCGTTGCAATGCGTAGTTGTTTTCAAGTCATAACGTATTATTACTCCTAAGTCTCTATGTTCTTGAACGCGTGGAAGAGATGTACCATCAATTGTATAATTGTAACTATTACCGTGTCCGATGTGCATTAGCACACTCTTCCTAGAATTGATTTCTAAGCCTCAACCTCGAACCCACTCTACTAATTTATCTAAGTCAGCTTGGGTATCCAAATGATCAGCCTCACTTCTTATTGTTCTCTAGATTTTCACATCATCCGCAAACAATAATGTTGACGACTTAAGCGAAAGCGGTAATTCATTAACGTAGAGAAGGAAAAGTAGAGAGCCTAAAATGGTGCCTTGTGGTACACCACTTTAACCGGCTTCCATTCGGACAGCGTTTCATTGACCCTCACTTTCTGTCTCCGATCACACAAGAGGTTTCCTATCCATTCCTGTACGGCACCTATTATTCCGATCCCCGAGAGCTTCTGCAGAAGACCTAAGTGTGAAACCTTGTCAGATGCCTTGCTGAAATCTACGTACCAACCAAACAACCAATAGTCGGTTGGAACAACGGACTGACGATCCCAAAATTTATTCGATTAGACCGGACCACGTTCCTCTGTATAGCCCACAACGCGTTTTTGAGATACTCGTATTATATTATATCAAAACACAAACTCTGTGTTCAATATAAACGGTTCTAATTTAGAAAACAGAACAAATTATATCAAAAGTACACTTTCCTCAAACGGTACAGCTTGTGCTATACAGTCAGAAGTTTCTCTAACGCAAAGTAACGCACTAAACAATGAAGAAAACAGTTAGTACCGAAGGGTTCGATACCTGAGAATCAATAAAAATATTCCCAACAAGATGGGATCGAATATCTATCCGCAGGGATTCCAGCAATCCTCCCAAGCAGACAATCAAAACGTTAAGTCACAAACTGAACCACGCCATGACCTTGGGGTAACAAAAGATAAGTCTTTAATCAAAATCACACAATAAAGGCTCAAATAAGGAAGACTGAAGAACAAAAAATGTGGTTAAACGAGACCTGAACAAAGGTTAAAATACACAACAGGGAGAAGCAACAAATAAGTGACAATACTGTTCAGCAAAGGAGCTGTAGAGGGATTTTCGCCGTTCTCTTTCCGTTATAATCTACGAATATCATATCGATAGACAGACCGTTATCTGGGGCTGCTGTCCAATCCTCTCTCGCAATAAGTTAGCCAAGCGTGAACGCTTGTTACGAAACCCATGCTGCTCGGGAGTTAACAGGTTGTGTGAATCTGTTGGGGACGATAGATCCCCAAACTCATATTTTGAATTTTATCGCATCGATCAACTTATTGATTAAACGTTTAAATATTTGTATTGGGGTCAATTGATGAACTGATCGATTAAATGCGCAAATAGGTCAATTAATGAACTCATTGATTAATGTTTAAAATTTCCTATGACAATATCGATTGTAAATAATTGTATAAATACGCTTGACTTGTATGCTTGATCTGATCTGCCTGCCTGACTTGGTATCTGCTGTTGCTTGTAGAATACACTTTCCACGCCTTACCAAGACTTCTTGATCGAGTTAGCTGAGTCGAAGACAACGGACCAGAATAGTCTATTGAGTCTCTGAATCCTGAGCCTTCGTTCCGTTCCGAATAAGTCGAATCAGTAGTATCCTCAAGGTTAACCGAACCTAACAATTTGGCGACGGTGGTTTTGGAAACATGGATCCTTCTAAACTTGAATTATTACTCGAGCAGCAAAGGAAACTTATTCAAATGTTAGCAGATGCAAAGCTTACGTCTAATACTCAACCAAGCAGTTCTAATCCTACTACTACTGCACCATCAGTTGATGGTATCGCTAACAGTATCTCCGAGTTTCATTACGATCCAGAATCCAATGTCACGTTTGATATGTGGTTTCGACGTTACGAAGACTTATTCAAATTCGACTTTGCTAATCAGGATGATGCTTGGAAGGTCCGCTTGCTGCTTCGAAAGTTGGGTCCTAATGAACTAGACAGGTATTGCAACCTAATTCTGCCTCTAAACCCACGCGATCGCTCATTCTCGGACACTGTCCAGTCATTGAGCCAACAATTCGGAGACAACTCCTCACTATTCAACGCGCGTTATCGATGTCTGAAGCTCACTATGAACGAAGATGCTGATTTTCTCACACATGTGGGTATCGTTAACCGAGAATGTGAACGCTTCCGGTTGAAGTCGCTTACAGAAGACCAATTTAAAGCACTCATTCTTATCTGCAGCCTTCAATCACAGAAGTTCAGTGACATTAGAACACGTTTGCTAAGTCGATTGGACCAAGACCCAAAACTAACCCTTAATGATATTGCAAACGAATATCAACGCCTAATCAATCTACAGCGTGACACTACGATGGTCCAGCGTGGTGGTTCAGATCGTGCTGAAGTTCATGTAGTCCAACAACCACGCAACTCGCATAAATCTGCCCCAGCAGCATCCAGTTCAAGTCAAAAGACAAAAACAAATCCTCCTGCCCCATGCTGGCACTGCGGTGCATGGCATTTTGTTCGATACTGTCCATATAAGCAACATCGGTGCAGGAAATGTAACACGGTGGGTCATAAAGATGGTTTTTGTCGAAAAAAGAAGCCAAGCAACTCCAAAGGTACCAGGAAGCCTACGCCTAGATCCAACACGAATTCGTTGAGTCTAATAGCAAGCTGTGAGAACTCATGCCCAGTTGAGAGGAAATTTATTACCCTTAATATTAACGGGCACCCATTTAGATTGCAAATAGACACTGCATCTGATGTAACAATTCTCTCACGAAAATATTGGATCAGAATGGGAAGACCACGCATGGTTCCAACAACACAAAAACCTCGAACTGCATGCGGTAATTACCTACGTTTGTTGGGACAACTAGATTGTAAAGTGTCTTTTCACGATTCGACGTTTACCGGTGTATGTTACATCACACCAGCTGATCTTAATCTACTTGGGTTAGACTGGTTTGACCAGCTACATTTAGCTGACGTTCCTTTAAGCACCGTATGCCATCTGGTGAAACAACCTCATGAACCTGAAACATATTCGAAACAACTACTGACGGAGTTTTCAACCAGCGAACACCATACGGCCGGCGAAGATACAGTTATTGCCTCCCTGATGACAGAGGACTACGCGCAGTGCTACCTGACAACTGCTATTCGTGCTTTGCCAGTCTCAGCAGCTGAAATACAATCTGCATCCAAGAACGACTCCATCATAAAGAGAGCGATGAAATACGTCACAAATGGCTGGCCGCCGACTGGACTCGATGGTGACTTGAAACAGCTTTACCACCGTCGGGACTCATTATGCGTCGTAAACGAATGCTTGATGTTTGGAGATAGAGTAGTGGTACCAGAATCCCTAAGATCTAAGGTGCTAAAGCAATTCCACACTGGTCATCCTGGTATAAAACGAATGAAATCCATCGCCAGAAGCTATGCTTATTGGCCCCTCATGGACCAACATATCGTGGATTTAGTAAGCAAGTGCACACAATGTCAGCAAGCAGCTAAGTGTAACGCGAAAATACTACCAGTCCCATGGCCACAGCCTGAGTATCCCTGGTCCAGGAT